CGCATGTGCTCTATCGATTGAGCCTATTATAAATTCGATCGGTCCACGCATTATTGAGATATGAAAATCTCGACTCCTATCAGCTCATGTGCTCGCGTAAAGATACACGGTCGGTCTTGCGCTGCGCGTGAACTTGGCGCGAGACACTACCGTGTCTCTTGATTTTTTCATTGATATATTTTTGAAGTTTTTATTTATATACATACATCTTTGTGCACGCTTGCTTCTTTCTGCACTTGTTTATAATTACTCGAATGTATTGCGGCGTTTAGTGACACAAAATAAATCTTACGCAGCGAATGTATGTTAGCACGAAATTTTATTTTTTTAGAAAGAAAAGAAGAGACTACATATAATAAATCAAAAAAATGCACAGTAACTTTGAGTCACTCTTCAAAATGCGACCTTGATGAAGGATTCCCCCCCCCCCTCTCTCTCTCTCTCTCTCTCTCTCTCTCTCTCTCTGTACTGCCCTCTTCACACCCCTCATTCTTCGTTTCCAGTTTTCTTTCATCTTTTTTACCGGTTTTTGTTGATACACGATACACAGGGCTAACGAAAGTCCGCGGGAGGGAGAGAGATTTCCGCTTTTCCATCTCATTGTCAGCTGGCTCCGCTTTATCCTATTTATAGAGTAGCGCAGCGTTCTGCCTGTGTTCGAAGGATCATTCAGAGGGGTGAACGCGGAACTGCAAATGGTAAATTTTTCCTTGAGAAGAGAGGAGAATGAGATACGGCACGCGTTCATCACTCACCATACGAGTGCACACTCTGCTAAAAAAAGCTGATCGAATCAGATAAAGAAACACAAAATATAACCAAAAATTATATTTTTTATAATTATGCATATCAGATTTATTATAAGTACGATAAATTTTTTATATTTTTTAAATTTGATTTTTCTCATGATACATACATAATTTTTTATATATAAAAAATAAATTTAAAAACAAAAATCAAAATTTTTAATTTAAATAGAAAATTATATAAATCTAGGATAATGAAATTTCTATTAATTTTACAAATCTTTTCACAAATTTGCTTGTTTGTATAAAAATGTTTAAAAATAATACATGAATAAAGTACTTTTTGCTTTATTGCTTGTTTAATAATTTTATTCTAACACCGTCAATTTAATTTAACAAGATATCTTACCAAAAATGTTATTTGTACTTCTTCAAAACAGGAAGTTCTTGCAAATCATCCCCCAACGTGCAATGGTATTATGGTATAATGGTATTTAAATGAAAGGACTCGAAAAAAGGTCCTGAGCACATTAAAAATGAAGTTTAATGCATCACATCTGGATTCTGAAAAATGTAGACTTATAATAGGAAAAATACGCACAAATAGCGAAGGCGAATCCACCACGAATCAAATTTACGTCGCGCAGGATGAATGATCGATCTGCAATGTCATACTGCTGAAAAAAGCCATATGGGTGACGTTTAATCGATTTGACAACTGTGCACATTTTTAGCAAGCAGATATAAATGACTGTAAAGTTTTTTATCTTATATCTTTTCAATAAAAATTTATGTGTTAGCAACTTTTTACTGATAAAATTTTTAAACATAATTTTTTAAGTGTATCTTTAAAAATGCATATTATATAAAATTTATTTAAACGTTGTTATATATATAACCCAAATACAATTTGATTACAATATTGTTTATATTAATACAATATTATTATAAGTTTTTATTATTACAGATATCAGTTTAATTAAATTTAATGCACACTTATTTAATCTCAGTTGTTTTAAAATTATATTTTTACAAATTCTTTGCTTTTTTTCATCATTATATTTATTATAGTATAGTAAATAGTGACACACAACCACGATAATAACGATATTAAACGATGATAGAATTGGCCTTTACACGCGTGATATGCTTTAAAATGATGGAAGGGTAACTCCGGATATCGGCCCCTTTCTGAATAGTGCAACCTGTTGAACGAAGGGAAGTTTTAATCTTTTTTTATACGTGTGAGAGATCAAGTTCGTATTACCAGCTACTCGTACAATAGATATCAACCTGTTGGGAGAAGGGGAGTTTTTTTTACGTAGCATCCATTAAATATGGCCTTGTTCATGGTGAAAAAGTGTCAAGTGCCGTTTCACTGACTTTTTATGCTCTAAAAAAAATTCCCCATCGGATCGTGAGGGATGAGCCCAGTTACCTGCATCAAAGGTATGATTCATAATCGTTCCACTTATTCTACACACATTCATTCATGATTTATTTTCATATAACTGTTTACACATTTATATTATTTTTCATGCGTGATTTTCATGTAACGGAATTTCATAACTATTGAACTGTTTAAGAATTTCAAGATTAAAAAGTAATAGTAGTAAAATAAGTCTCAATAGTTTCAATAAGATTCTAAAATTATAAATCTTGACGAAGAATGTTAATTTGTTAAATAAATATTACATAAAATTTTTCTACAATATAATTATTAATTAAAGAAATTTAATTAAAATCTAACTGAGAAAAGAGTAACAGCGCTTAGTTTTAGAAATTAATTTATTAATTACTGTTTTTAAAAATTAATTGTTGACATACACTCAAAAAAATATTTCGCTGATGTAGTTAGATTTCTAGATATCGCAACAAGAATGTATCGCTATTTTTCGTATTTGTGAAAACATTGTTTGTCACATATAGAATTTATAGCAGTGATGTTCTAGCAATAGCTTCTGAAAAATTTAGGTACCATTGCTAAATGTTATTCATTGCATGATCTAACACGTGATTGATCTTATATAGATAGCCGCTTTAGAGAAACTTTCTTTTTAAAGTTCACAAACAATACAGATATATATTCTGTTTCTGTCATCTAAACTGATTAAGTAATTACATATGCAATATCACAACAGTTGCTAATCATTTATCTGTTTTAGTTAATTTTTTACACCTAGAAAATTTTAGCTATTATTGCAAGATCATTTTTTTGAGTGTATAATATTACATATTCGATATCACATGTAAAGAGTGTCTTTTGAGAAATCGACATTGTGAGAAGTCTGAAGCTGATATTTCTAAAAGAATCCCATGGTCAGCCTTGAGTTAGAAATATCTCTTATTTTTTATGAAAAAATAAAAAAAAGTAAACGGTCGTTATATGTCGGTACGTAAGGCTTTGAAATTTAAGTTGTAGATGGTTGATTTCGATGGTTCGGTCTACTTCGGACTACACGTAGAAAAGAATAACTAATTGGAATAAAAAAAGGACACAGTTATAAAAAAATTTTTTTTTAATTCTTAGAAATTTTTTATTAAATTTTTTTAATTAAAAATTTGTTTGCAAGATGCTTTCTACTATTTTTTTTTAGTGCTAGACTTAGTGCAATATAATTTGACACGCTTTCACTCGAATCGTTATGTTTCTTTTATCGAACAAAAACGATCGGTAAACAGTTGATCCATAAATTTAGCAAGGCTTTATCCAAAAATTTTTTACGTATGCTTTTTTTTATGCACGTATTCTTTAGTATTATGTTAGAGAGAAGCGTTGAAGAATTATCTTGATTTCTGCATCTTAAGCTATCGATTTACGATCATAAAAATGGTGTGAATAAGGATAATACCGGGTTTATATTTGAAAAAAAACTCAAGTATCTGGTATTAATAGGTCACCGACAGCGTTCTGATCCATTTTTTCGATTTAATACTTTTGAATATAATTGTATCAACGGATATGTTACAACTTACAATTAGTAAAGGATTAAATACGCTTAGCGAAAGTTAAATTAATAAATAAAAATTTAAGAATGCAAAGATTCTGATATTAATTAGTGAAAAAAATGCTTAGAAAATTTCGATGATTTAGGCCGAAGTTCTGATTTGACACATACAAATGCTTTGAAGCGTTCTTTTCCTTTTCTCTTCATTGAAAGGAATAAGAAGAAAAGGATACTTCGAAGCATTTGTAGCATCAACTGGATCGCAGTTTTAAACCTCTGTTAAATAGAGTTTGAATTTTCGTTTATTAGAATATAAAAGCGACAATACACATACTGAAAAATCCCTAAACAGACAATTTTAGTTTTTTAGCTTTAAAATGTTGGCCAAGTGCGACACATTTAGTTTTTTTTCTAGCGGCTGCATCTAAAATATGATTCACAATCTAGTAGAATTTATAGTCAATGATTGATTGCATGCTAATAGTGAGAGGTTAGGTTTATCTTTATCAACAATAATTAAAACTGTATTTATGTAATAATTATAAATATATAATATTAAATTATGTTAAAAATGACCAATCAATTAAAAAGATATCTTTTTTGGTTTGCTCATGAACATGTTGATTTTCGGTTGGCTGTAAGTATTCTTTTATTATATTTTATTAAATGTTTATTATAAATTAAAAAAAAATTTAGATTTTATATTTATACTTAAAAAAATTATATTTAATAATAAACTGCAAGAGATTTTAATAAAATTTATATAGAATTAATGTAATATTTTTATTTTTACTATATGTGTGCAGCTGCTATTGTATTTATTTTTTAATATTTGAAAACAATTTTTCCGGTTTTTTATATATAATAATTTTTTCTGAAGATATTTTCTTATATTTTATGGGTACAAATAAATATAAAGTATTTTATATATTTTTATTTTTATTATATTTCAGGAAATGGAATCTATATTTGATATGTTTAACATTAATCTATCCACAGTGACCAGGCCAAAAGAACATGTAAGGAAATATAAGTATATGATTAAATAAATATGATAATATATAAAATATTCTTTTTATGTTACATGTACAATCTTTATAGCAATATATTTTTTCTATTTATAAATAATTTTTCTGTAAGAAATTTTTTTATTATTTGTAAAATAATTTTATATTATTAACTACAAATAGTTTTTTGTCGAATGAGTCAGTTTGAGTTATCAAATGTGTCAAAATTGAAAGATTATTCTTACAATTTTGATATATTCTAAAATTCATCAAACAAAAAAGAATTTATAAATATATTACTTATTATATACACATATATTATATAAACAAAACAAATAAACTTAAAAAATTTTATTTTAGCCTTACTGGATAGTGGATTTACCTGATGAAAATGTTGTACATAAAATTGCTAGTAGAGCTGTCTCATTACGTTTCTGTTTGGAATTATGGGCACAAGGTAAAAAAAAAGAAGATTTACATAATTCTTTGAAAGCTTACTCAGTCAGAAATTCAGACATTTTTATTGGAGACAGAAGGTCATTCAAGATAGTAGTGGAAACTTTTTGCAAACATTTCTCACAATGTGAAAAAGTAGAAAAAATTGAAGTAAGTAGATAATATGCTTCAAAATTACATATTAATTCTAAAATTGTAGTTTTATAGTAAAATATACACTAAAAATATATGGTTAAACCATTTATACCAATTATTTAATAATATATTAGATTAATATAACAATACTAACTTAATATAATATTGTAATAAGTCTTTCAGTTATCTACCTCTTGAAGGGCCAGTGAAATTGAAAAATCCAGATGTTACTTTGTGCTATATAGAATATTATGGACTTAATCCTAATGAAATTCCAGAGGAGCCATATGAACATTTCTTCGGAAAATGGGTGAGTGATGTATTTGCATGTTAACCATTATTTCTAGGCTGTAATATCATTTTATTATAGATTGCCGATGGTCAGCGAGAGTTAATTCAAAAGTTGTCACTAAAAACTAGGAAATTTATAGGAAATACATCAATGGATCCCCAGCTGTCGCTGATAATGGCGAATCAGGCGCAAATTAGAAATGGAGATGTAGTTCTTGATCCGTTTGTGGGAACCGGCTCTTTGTTAGTTGCCGCGTCTCAATTTGGAGGATACACATTCGGAACAGACATCGATTTTTTAATGCTTCATGGCCGTACGAGACCTACGCGAATATCGCAAAAGGTATCGCTAACGAGGATTTCTCTATGAAATTGAGTTATACAAAGCAAAGGAAAAATTCTGAAACTCCGTAATAATGAATGTATTGTATATAATTTTAGACGAGGGAAAAAGACGAAAGTATTGCAGCGAATATGCGTCAATATGGAATGAGTTCCCATTATCTCGATGTCGTAGTGGCAGATTTTTCGTATCCATTGTGGCGAGTAGATTTACGGCTAGATGCTATTATGACAGATCGTGAGTAAAAAAATTTTGTAAGATTTCCGAGTTTTATGATACAAACTTGTTGGATGAAAAATCATCTTTTGTGCAGCACCTTATGGTATAAGAGAAGCTACAGAACGTATAGGTACTATGAAGATAAATCCAGTGATAGAAGAACATCAAGCAACCTCTCATATTCCTTCGAAAATTGATTATGGTTTGAATCAGATATATAAAGATTTGTTGTGTTTCTCCGCGAGACATTTGAAGCTTGATGGTAGACTGGTGTGTTGGTATCCGTTATTTAGGTATATACACATTATTTGTTTTTATATTTTAAAAAATATTTAGCACTATAGATAATTAATTAATAATATATTGGAGAAATTTACCTGTTAAATTTATGATTGCAGAGACCAGTACACTGAAGATCAGTTACCAGCGCATCCTTGTTTAGAATTGGTGGCCAATTCTGAGCAAGTGTTGAGCAATTATACTAGTCGAAGATTATTAACTTATAAAAAATTTAGAGAGCCAGAGGTATGTATATATATTACAATTTTACTAATAATTTTTACAGTTTTTTATCACATGTAAAGAATATTGTGCTGCAGATTTTCGAATTTAAAAATTTCAAATTGTTCACTATCGTACGTATATATATTTTAGTATGGTAAAATCAATGTTTTTCAATATTTAATAATAGACAAATGACGAAAGTATTATTATGAACTTAACTGACTTCCGTGAAAAATACTTCGCATTACGTGAGGAAACGAGGAAGGATAAGCGAATGAAAAAAGCTACAGAAAGAGCGAGAAGACGAGAAAATTGGGAACGTAGTAATAAAGAATCTACTGAAAGATGACTGTAGAACTATTTTATATAGAAACAAATAAAAAATATTTTAATTTTGTATCCCATTGTCATTTCTTAATTTAGAGAAAATTACTGAAAATAATTTTAATCAAAATTTGATCGCTATTTAATTTGAAGTTTTTATTTATTATACACAGAATGTTTATAAAGATTAATGTGAAAATAAGCCTAATTGCAACAATAATTTAGAAATAAATGATATTTTTTGCACACGTCTTTTATTATTTTAATGCAGATGTAACTGATACTGAATGGCACATAAAAATCAACAATGATGTTATTAGATAAGGTACAAAAAGCCAAGAAAATGACTACAATCGCAAAATCAATGATCAATACATTTACTTAACAACATATACACCAAGATATTGAAATGAATGTATATTCAAAAGATAATTACGTATAGTGTATCTAAAACTCGAGAACAATACGCATTAATTGATTAACTAATATATAAACATATGCATTGTATATAGATATCTCAGGCACAATTATTCAGAACAAAATAACATATATAATTTAAAAATAGAATAAAGGTAATACTGTTTATATAATGTATATTAATCGTGGCTCTTGTTACTTTTTTTAACTACGTAAGTTAAAAAACGTATCTAAAATTTCTCGTACTCAAGGGTCTTTCGGAAATCACTATTAGCATGTCTTTAAATGCCATTTACATATGTTACAAAATTAAAATAAATATACAAATTATCAACTTGAATAATAGTACCTAAGCTTCGAGTTGCAATTGTCCTAGTAAACGCTCTACATTTTTAACATCTTCATTCGAAACTTTACTTTCGTATTGTTTCTCGATTTGTTTACTAGCCCATTCGCTCAGCTTCATCGCTTCCTTCTTTTTAGATGCAGGACATTTGGGTGATGTCGCAATATTATTTGTTGTCTGAAAGTAAATAGATACAGTTTCTGTAATTTACAGTTTCTGTAATTGCTACGTAATATTAAAATGCCTTATAAAACTTACCAATAACAGGCCATATAGAGCCCTAATATTATTTGGATTTAACTTCACAGCTTGGCAGAAGTATGCTTTTGCTAGTTCCATATTATCAAATCCACCCTAGATAATAAAACAATTTATAAATTTATTTCTAAATACATTAATCACATTTTTTCCTAATCTATCTAATTAAGTAGAAGCTACATTACCTGAGAATACTTTATTTCCGCATATCTTTGATAAATTAAATGGCTATGTGGATTGTGCAATATAAGTTCTTCCATGCAATAGGCTGCTTTAGAATATTCTTGTTCTTGCAAATATAAATCACACAGCTCGTGCCATGCTTCTTGATCACTCATAAACCTAAAGAATGATTTTGTAACATATTTGTATGTATAATTTAATAAAATAATTTGCAATATTTTACTAATATAAATATACTTTTATAAAAATTTTTAAATGTTAATTATTTTTTATTCTTTTGAAAATTTTTCAAGGATATAAGTACTAATATATGTGAAAATAGTACATATACCTTTTTAAATATTCTGTAAGTTCTTTGATTGCTTCTGGAGTACGTCCACGTGCTTTCAAGATAGCAACACGGCGTTTTCTTGGCGCCGCATTAGTCTCATCTCTTTTTATAATAGAATCCAAAACTTCCAATGCTTCATCATACCTTGAAAGAATCAATAGTGTTACAATTCTTATTGCATATTCACAAATACTTAATGACATATTATGGTTAATTACATTTCTAATGCCTCCAAATGCATGGCATGATATTTATGAACACGTAAACTGCCAGGAAAAGCACGAATTAAAATTTTAATGCAGTATTCAGCTAATGATAAGCGGTAACAATCCAATGCAGCAACGCATACTTGTTCCAGAACCAGATATTCTAAATAATAGACAATAAAATATTATTATTGATGTAAAATCTTGATAAAAGAGAAATATTATATATAATCATAATTTTAGAATAATATGTATATCGATTGATCATACTTTCATTGCCTAAGCGATCAATCTTTCCCATTAATGTATTTTCCCAAAAATCTACAACATCTTTACTCCGTCGTTCGGAATCTTCCCTCCAAGTTCTCAGCAAGTCCCGCACCTCTGTACAACAAAATAACAAAAAATCAATTCTACATGTCATTAATTTAAATAAAGCAATTACACATTAGTGATTAGGAGTTTAAGGTTAAACAGGATGACATATATTAACGTGTACTGTAAAACATATGACACAAAACTCACCCGTCCAAGATAATTTGTCGTAACAACCAGCCATTATGTGTTATCGCTTTATAAATGAAAAGAAACTTTTATAAGTGAATAAAACACAGTAAAATTAAATCGTTGCTTTTACACGATCTAACATGCAGAGTTTGCAAGACGTACTGGAAATATCATCGAATTATATATAAATGTAGAAATATTTTCTGCTTTATTGTAAAAGCATGAAAATTGCTTTAGAACTACTGTAGACTTGTAAAATGCTGCTTCACACTTGACAGTGTATAGGATAATTATGATAAATAATGGATTTGATGAGAGTGCAAGAAGGTAGCTGAAAACGTAACTAACTAAGCAATTAACTGACGGTAACAACTTCGCTCTAGATTACTTTCTTATTTCGTCATGATAATGTCGAAAACGCTCAAGCATTAGATGAAATGCTCGCTAGATGGTGCATGTTGCTTGTTAGGAATTTTTATTTAGTTTTACCTGACAATGAATTGCGTAAATATTCCAAATACTTTTCAATCTTCTCTAATAATATAAAGGAAAACAAGAGCAATCAAGAAAAAGGTAAAAAATATTTTATATAAGGTACGATATATTTTATAATTAATTTATATTAAATAAATTTAATATTTAATATTTATTTTAATTTAAATTTAACATCCATAAATAACAAATAAAGAGTAATAACACATGTATTACTCTGTTCAGTAAATCTGCTGGTGTAATAAAGAAATGGTATGAAACCAGAGAGATTAAGAATAAAAAAACGAGAAAGACTTGTTATTGAATTCGAACGGTAATATAAACAGATCTCACAGCAGTTCGTTTATAACCTTGACTTCTTCAAAGTATACTGCTTGAAAATCATCGGAATAATATCGAAATATTCTAAAGTAAAAGCGTTTAAACGAAAATAAAATCGTTTAAATAAATATAAATCTGCATTTTTCTTCGATAAAATTATTTATTTTCGAGAAAAAGCAAAGAATTCCATTTAGATGATCGCTATTATCAACACAGTTTATAATATTTATATATAATCGCAGTCGGCACAATGTAACATAATTGCAACATGAAAACTATAGAAAATAAAAAAATATACTAATTAATCTACATAAAGAAATACTCGATCCATTCAATTTTGCGTAGCAAATTTAAATTGAGAAACTATAATTAAAAATTAAATTCCTGGAATCCAGATTTTCTAGAAAAAAATACGTTTCTTGAAAGATTAATTTTGCAATCAATATTGACAAGATTGTAGTAAAAAAAATGCATACATATTTATGCACTGAGAGAAAAGAATAATTGCAATAACCATAATCTATAGTGCTTTCGGCGCCAACCATATTTTTATAGGTATTTTAACTATATAGTTGATTATATGATTGACATATCATACGTATAAGGTTATTATTGCTAACATTATAGTAATTCCTATAAAAATGAGTATTCTGATTATAATTATAGTACCAAATATCATACAACTATAGTTCCAAATATCATATACTTTTCTCTCAGCGTGTAGTAAAAAATTACATTAGAAATGCTTCTTCAGTTTCAAAATTTACATTAGTATGTGCACATTTATATTATTTGTAGGACATAAAATAACAAATGATATTTATCGTACACGCGTCTATCGTTGCACACAACAATAGACCTATTTTTATTATTATTATATATAGATCTGTATTTTATTGCAGTTAATTTATTTGTAATATTCATTTTAAGTAAAATTGTATCGCATATTATCGTTAGAACGATATTGCTGATTTGAAATTACGATAGTGGGGGAGATTATCTATCGCGCTCAGGACTTGAGCGACGTGATGGTATATAAAGCCGCCAACGGTTAGCCGCGACGAAGTTGATTAATAGCAACGAAAATGCGCGGCTGTTCTTCAGGCAGGATAATATCGACACTAAAAAACGTCGTTACAGCGCGCGTCTAGCCGTTTCGCAAGAGGAGTTTTTATCGTCTCCGTCACACGCGACATTGTATGTACGTATTATGTGACAATGCTATAATACACAACGAATTACATGAAAATTACATTGTCGTGTAGATCACGTATTTAAGTGTTTAACACGCTTTACTCGTTGAACGACGCTCGGAACTCCAAGACAATCGATCATTATTCACGTGCGTGTGTGTCACTCAGGAACTGATTGTGAGATTCAAACTGAAAATAACTATTACCGTTCACGTGAAGTCGAACTACATAGAAAGTGATGGTTAGGTTATGGTTCTTTAATTTTAATTCTTTCTTTAATCTAACAACGCGAAGGACAATGATTTCGCGAATGTGTATGTATCAAATAAGTCCTCCATCATCGAGTGAAAGTTACGACCGTGCGGACGATTAGATCCTGATGGACGCGATAACGCGCACTTAATCGCACTAAATCGCTGCTTTTGAATAATACGTATGCATTGGACGATATCATGTGCGTGCCGACGCGTAGAAGTGAATGTCGCGCTATCAGAAGTACGCTCGTTGCCTAAAGTGCGTTTATATGTAAACATATAGATATATGATAACGTTTGAGACGTTTGATAATAAAAAAACAAAAAACAAAAAAATATGTTACATTCCATCATAATGTAAATCAGGCGCACCGAAACAATTCATAATTTCCCGGCAAGAGCAAGTAATCGAGAGTCGCAACTATCGATTCACATTCTGCGACGACCATGACAATCACGTGGCAATCCGGCTTCTTGCTAGAAAGTTCAACTGAGTTCAATTTAGTCCGTGATTATTCAACGTCTTATTAAATGTCTCGTCTGTGGTGCGTGTAAATGAGTTATTTATTCGCAAATTCTGGACTTTTCGGATACACGACAAGTGTGTATTTTGACACATACAATCTGAGATTTAATCACGGATTGTCTTCTTATCGTATCACGTGCTTCCACCGGTTCCTTTCTATCAGTTACGAACACGTCTATGTTTATGTTTGTGCCAACACGTGTACGGTGCGACAAAGATGGAAGACAGAATAGATCTAAAAAGCTTGGTTTTCATGCTGGCTACTACGCTGTTCGTTGTTGCATTCATCAATATATTGACACATGTCAAGCAACGGTCGCAATCCCCTCAGAAGAAGAATTCATCGAAAGGTAAATATTTCTAATTGTTACTTGTAATCTGTACTTCACAATTTTAATTATAATTTTATGTCACGTAATATAGAAAATATGAAAAAATTTTAAATCAACACATGTATATATAAAATATAGGCCAGCAAAATATATTAACATGTATTTTGTGCAATTTTTCTAATGTTTACTATTGCATACAATTATAAAAAAATTTTTGTCTCGAACTTTATCGCAAATTATAAAGTGTTTAAAGCGGGTTCACTCAATTTTCGCTATCATAAATATAAGAAAAATGTACTCCGCGTTTTCCAATTAAAATTTTAAATTTTTATGTAAATTTTCCATTAAAAAACAAAGATTGACAGTAGCTGCTGTGGATTGTTAAATAAGTAGCTGATTTGGATTGTTAAAATTATTCTTTAGTTTTTTATCTCGTATTAAATTATATATAGATTTATGTACGTTATTAAACGTGTACACATTAATTGATTATTTTGCAAAAACGTGCACCGTTTTGCGCGGGCTTATCGTATGATAAGAAATTGACGCAATTGAGTGACGTCTAATCGCAAATGTCATCGTCCATGTGGTGGTGTGGAATACACGTGCGGCCAATGATATGTTGAAACGCAACTTCTCTCGGTCGATTTTTTCATCCATCATAAAAAACTGCAATTTATTCAAAAAAAGCTATTAGACACATGCATTTTCTATCGACAAAAAATATCATATACGCGCGACTTCTCCGTTTTGATTACGTAATTAAGCAAGTCGCAATTGGAAAACTTCTTCGCTTCGCGAAAAAGAGAAAAAAATATACATTACGTTTCAATGCGCTTCGATATCATCGTTGCTGCTAAGGTGATAAAAGTCATTTCTCTCGCGATGATTGAATAAACATACATTTGTGATGAGTTGCGTTGCAATTTGTTAATTTAATATGTATATCATCTATTTTTTTATGTAGAAATGAAATCGTATAATTTTGCGCAACACATTGTATTTATAAAGGAACCAGGAAACTTTCAAGTTACGATAGACACGCATCATCATGTTTCCCGTTAGTCTCTTACGTTTGTCCCGTTAGGATTAGCGCGACGGCATTATGTTGTTATGCGTAAACGACTACGAACGGAAGATTCGAACGCGTATAATTATCATCGATATACATTTACATTCGATTCAAGGCTGTATTAAGGGCGTGGTAACTACAAAAGGGGATTTAGGGGTTGAGAATGGGCGTATATATATTCTAGCCTATGCAGTTATCCACACCTATGGTAGGTTTTATCTTGGTAGGGATAATGGACGAGAATGCACCATCACCATTTTTGTCTAAAAAGTCTAGTCTAAATTAAGATACCGTCTAGATTATTGCGTATAATTACATGATAAATAATATCGGGGTAATAACAACGATAAATGATTTATTATTTGAAGTTTGAATGCATTTTTTTTATAAATTATATTTTAAATCATTTTTATAATTATGTTTTATGATAATCATGCCTTGTTTATACGTAATGATACATAAAAATAGCTTCTTAAACAATTAAAATTCAATTAAAAGGATGATAAAAAGATAAAAGGTCTTAGTGCTTTTTGCTTGTAACGATATAAACATAAAGAATGAGTAACCGAAAATTCTTGAATTTTAACCGATATCGCACAGTAATTATAAAAATAGCCGCGGAAAGTACAGACCGCAAGAATGCGGATTTTATTTACCGGATGCAAATTGATAAACATGTGGTTAAACATTGTTGCCGTCGCAGTTACCAAATCGTCGCTAGGCATATAATTATAATTGACCATTAAACTCTAAAGCATTTCAGAAATAACATTATACTTTTTTAATTTTCGTATAATTCGAATGTCATACTACGTATAATTAATAATATTCGTGTTCCTATCGTAATTTCTTGAAACTTTGTAGACAAATCTTATGTGTTTGATTGAGATCGTTAATGAACTTGTGTTTGTGTGTTTATAGATTCAAACGTTCTGTCGGAAGGCACGTCATCATCAATGAAATTATCGCAACTGACTGCCATAGAAAACTGTTTGAAAAACTCAAACGGGAAGATCACAGAACTTTGGATAAATACTACAATTGATGAAGATACAGGGTTTGTTATTAATAGATGTTGCACTACAGGAAAATACATCGCAAACAATGCCCAAGGTATTCTACTATTTAAATAATTAAAAACTTATGATAATCGAAGATCTCCAATTATGCAATGTAAATGTTGATATAAAAATTCAATTATTTTCAATTTTATATAATGGAGTGAAGATAGTTCCAACGGTATAATCGTTTGCCAAAATATAGAAAGTAAGTAGGGTTAGATGTATACAGAAAATATGATAGAAAACAGCAGACGAAACAGTTTTTGTTTCACTGCCTGACTGTATCTTTTACTTATAATTTTTGCCATTGTCTTTCTGCTTTCTATGTATGATATTAAATTTTTGTCATAAAAATTATTGAACAATAACGTGATAAATCTTCGCAAAATCAAATATAGTTTTTATAACATATTTATCTAATTATATTCAATGTTTTATAAATATTTCAAAAGAAGTTTTCCTATAATATAACATTGTCTGATTTTCGTTTGAATTGTTTGATTAATCTATGAAAGTTTATGAAATTGAGTAAATGACTTGTTAAATGAAAGATATTTTAATAACTATGTAATAAAAATTCTAAAAAAGTTTGAGATAATACCTGACATTGCATATATTTAATTCTTAAAGCTTTAAATAAATCTCGAATAATAGAGAAATCTCGTTGGAATTATCTTAATGATTAAAAACAAGCGCTGCCGTAAGAGTTCTGTTATAATAAAAAAATGCGAAAATCTTATTCTAGTTTTAATGCATGTCAATTTGTTGATGGAAAGATTCACACGTCGCGAGAATGCAAGAAATCGCATGGAAAATCAAGTACGATGTACTCTTATGCATTACTCCAGTGCAATGGATTTTTTTGTGTCTATACGTTTATGTCTCATATATAGATAATTGTAGTGGAATATATTACGTTTCTTTATTTCTTTCTTTCTTTGTTTGACTTCTCATTTTGATTACCGCGTTTTTCGTGATCATCAACTTCTTCCGACGAATATATAAATCAAACGAAATCTGAAATTTTTAATTCGTATTGGAAAAATTTTCTTGCAAAAATAACTTGGAATGTCAGAGACTGTGTTAAATAATGTTTTGGTAATTCTCTTTTTCTACTTTTTAATAAAAATTCGGTAATAATCCGCTAAAATCCTATTTTGGTTACAATTTTATTTTTATAATTATAAGATAGAAACACATATATCAGAGGAAATAAATTCACATTCAAAAGGTTTACAGAATTGCCATTCACAAAGCTATAAAATGATTTGGAGTAAATTGATTGCTAAATATTATTTCCAGGTACCAAAAAAAAAATTCCTTTCTTTATCGAGTCCACTTTCGGGACGCAAAACGTGTGCAATTTTTTCCACGCTGAAGCAGAATGTCGAATCTCTGCCGGTAGCTTTCTCGTTTGTGTAGAAATATCGGGACGCGTTAAAATATTTGCACAAGATGTTAAAAACAATTCCATTGTTTCGTCTTTCTGAAATTATTCACGAGTAATTTTCATTGCGAAAACATCAGTCGTTTACGTGCTTCCTCGTCGCTATGATTCATCTTGAGATGAGTTGTTTTTACGAACCGAATGATGCGAAATCGCGAATAAAGTCGAGCGATTGGTGCACTACATGTCATTGGAATAAACGTATATTAATTTTTTTTCCTTTCTCTCTCTCTCTCTCTCTCAATATAACAGTGAAAATAATTTGTTTTTGTGATGAATAAAATGAGAGAGATTAAAAATATCTTTAGTCACTGAACACTTCTTGCGGGCTATGTCGGTCAGTTCGACACTTATGTTAGACCTCTCGTGGGTGTATCGCTTGTTATTAATAAAATTTCTCGTTATTATACGTTCTATCTTATTACTTTGTTTTTATTTTTCGCATATTTTATTTTTCAAATTAATATTAATAGAGATGTATTTACATATATTAATTACATAAATATTAATTGCGCAAAAGAAAGAAAGAAAAAAAGAGAGAAAAGGCGAGATATGCATTCCATGCATACTTGCACGACACACGTGCATGAACATTTCTAGCAATAAAAGTAGATTCTTCATAATGAACTTACGCATATTTTTTTTTTCTTTTTGATACGAAGCTTGGGTAGTTGAATGTGCTTACGGGCATCATCATCGTATACCCGTCATCTCTAAGAAAAATATTGCAATGCAACAGGCTTCATCAACAACTGTACAACAGCCGCGAAGGATTATTACCATACAACAACCAATTCTTAAATTATTTAATCAGAAATTGATATATAAATCATGCTTGCCACAAGACCTAGACGTAGATGACTCGCAACCAAAAATACAAAGAAAATCACGGCATATATTACGACATAAATCACGAAAAGAATTACAAAAATCAAATGTATCGCGACAATCGACAACATCTTTGTCAAATTATTTTGAAAATCAAGAATCGTTAAAGGAGAAGGAGATCGTGGATGCCCTGACGCCGTACGTATTAACATCGGAACAATTGTTCAAATATGGTTATCCTATACAATCAAACCCACCAAGTTGTGCGATAATAAACTACACGCCATATCCGACCACGCAACAGCCTTCAGAGTCTCATGTTTCGAATAGCACGGATTATTCGCAGCAAAAGATGTGTGCTAGATGTAATACATATTTTAATTACACATATAAATATCCTTGTATCTATCATTGGGGAAAATTATGGGACGATATGACAAACAGTATTACAAACAAATACTGGACCTGTTGTCACAAGACGGAACTCGTGAAAGGTTGCACTACAGCAGATATGCACGTATGGATCGGACTGCAACCTGGGTTCAATGGTCCTTTGGTTGGTTTTGTCTATACGAAGCCTAAAGAAAATACGCAGAACACTCTGCGCGTAGCCGCCGTAGATTGCGAAATGTGTTTTACTGAAGCTGGACTGGAAGTCGTTAAAGTATCAGTTGTGGATAAAAGTGGCAAAGTTGTATATGAAAAGCTAATAAAACCTTTAAATGATATTATTGATTATAATACAAAATTTAGCGGTATTACGAAGAAAGATTTGGAGGGAGTAACCGACAATCTTCGAATCGTGCAGCGCGAATTGCTGGACTTCATCTCCGCAGAGACTATTTTAATTGGACATGGATTAGAAAGTGATCTCCGAGTACTCCGCTTATTACATAAAAAAGTCATAGATACCAGTACAGTGTATCCGCATTATAATGGTTTTCCATATCGTAACAGTTTAAAAATTTTGGCTAAACGTGTCTTAAAACGAAATATACAAGAAACAACGCACAATCCTGCGGAGGATGCTAGAGCCGCTATGGATTTAATGATGGCAAAAATTTCACTAGATAAAGTAGAACCTTCTACTTCAAGAACCGCATAATAATCTTGGCGGAGATAAATTGACGGATGCTACGTGTTTGAGAAAATAACATATCTCAGCATATTTTTCTTCGTGATGCACACAATATCACTACAACGTCACAGTAACTACATTAGCGTATCGTATGATAGCTCACCAATCATTACAGTTTCATGGTAATTGATAAGCTATCACAAACAATATTGCCTTATATATTGACAACAGTTACCTTCAAATCGCTTATGAAATACATCTCACAATTTACATTCCCGCACGGTACGGAAACATGATGCAAAATTCCAATTTTGCGGGGTATAGTATAAAAAAAATTTATTACAGCACAACCTCGAAGGTTTTTTTAATATAGGATATCACACCTTTTTTATACACTACATTGTATATGTTTTTCTACATTTTACTTGTATGCATGTTTTATATATAACATTGTATATGATTCTTTACATCGCATACATATGATCTATTAGTATATACGTATGTCATGTATATTACGCTTATATATCAATCATTGCGTTTTATAAATTGTCCATGCAACATCGCTTTTTATAAATCGTAATTTTTTATACCTATAAACATGTACGCGTTTATACAAATCGGTATACCTACGTATGTTACATACGTACGCGTTCAATATTCACTATCATATAATTTTACACTCATTTCGTAGTCTAAGTCATCTTGCCATGCATATTTTATATAACTGCATCTTCATTCTATAAAAAGGACGCGCAGCGTTATCAACGCTGCGAAAAAAATGTGATTTAAGACCGAAACTAATAGATTTTTATTTCAAAAAATTTTGACTAAAATAATTGAAATAATATATGACTTGACATAATGCGCAATTAAATTTTGCTTGAAGCAAGATGACACCGTAGGTTTTTCTCGAGCGCAAGTACACGAATAATAAAGAGTTACGTTCGATAACGTGAGACTCGTACTGTGAAACAAGAATATATATACACAATATTGAATTTAATTTAAGTTTTTTATCTCGTAAATAAAAATTTGTTGTCTCCCGTTTAATCTAATCTGTAAAAATCTGGAAACTGCTTGCGGTATTTTCGTATTTTATCGTGTTTTATTTGATCACACAACAATTTTCTATCATGATTGATGTTAAACTGCAAACATTTTATAACGATATATTAGAAACGCGAAGATTTGACATATTTCGTAACGATAGTATTATTTTTTTAAATATATTTTTTTACCCCAGCATATTGTGATTTATTATAATAATTGATCTTAAGTAAGCTGCTTTATAATGGATGCCCTGATGATGATTAAAACCTGCATGCTATAAAATCGCTTTTAATATTTTTCTAAATTCCAGAAAGTTAAAATACATTGTGAAATAATTTTGCTACTTTTTATTTTGAATAAATTCTGCAAAGTTAATAATAGAAAAATGGCGATTGAATAGCAGTAAGTTTCATTCACCATTTTGATCTCATAATGTATTATGTAATAAATCATTATATCTGCATTGTAATGTAGTGTAGCATTACGATTTTATCAATAAATTTAATGTAAGTTAAATCTAATCTGATTACTTTTTTTTATTTTAGAAATTATAACGTTTTTTTTTTATTTTTTCAGTGAATTCTATTAGTGCTATTGATATCCAGAACTTAAGTAGAGTAGAGTAAGCAGAAAAAGAGAAAATGCATTTAATGGATTGGCAGCCTATGGGCTGCCGTACGAAGAACCATTGCCAGGTAGATTCTTTTTACGGATCCTATGTACTCCAGAATCCTAGTGTTTCTTCCAATAATACACTAAATGCGCTCTTTATCTCTCTATCTATTATATATTGTGTGCGCTATTATATACAGGATGTGTTATTTTTAACGGTTTTAACTTCTTAAAATTTTTTAATTTTAGAAAAATGTTTCAGATAAGTTGTATGGTCTAAAGGGAACAAATAATGGTGAAATCCTTTTTTGACAAAAATTCAATTTTTTTAAGGTTATATTAAGATTATCTTTAATTTTTTTTAAGTCTATTGATGTGGTTGGAACTGGTGACTTCATCAGTAGTTTGCTTTCTTTAAGCTCTAGTGATTCAAGCGACAGTGAAGCAGGTTAGATATAAATGTAACTATTGCTTTTATTAGACCCTTACTGAAGAGAACAAAGAACTTACAACTAATAATAAGTTACAATTGTCACAAAAATATAAATTATTTCTTTGGTGAGATTTAAAATTATGAGGTTATTTACGATTGTTATACACATATATATACATATATCTTTCAGAATGCGAACAAAATATTTCATACTTTTGAATTCTTCGCAAAATTTATTACTTTCTAATGAATTCACAATGAAGCACAGATTTTTATAATCACGTTTATGCAAAATACGAATATGATTTACATGCTAACGCGCTTCTTCTCATCGTCAAGTATGACAAAATTATCTGTGAGGCAAAGGCCTTTCTACATTTTTAAAATTCCTACTTTTTATACACGTTTTTTAATCTTTGCTTTGCATATTAATTCTGCAAATAACATCAATTTAGAATAATAAGAAATTCACTATTATCAACATAATGGCAAAATCGTAGACGCAAAGTTTATAGCTATTTAATGGCTCACTATTTCATGTGGCATTATTATATTTTAAATTTTGTACATCATCTGTACGCGCAAAACAATGAGCTATAACTCTTATGGACATTGTAATTCTAGCTAAACAGAGTGAATGTCATAATCATTGTATGTAATTATTATTATAATTATGTTTCAATATACAGTGTAAAATTTAACATTTAATTGTATGTTAATACTTTCTATATAAAAATCTAAATTTATCGCAAGAGTAAATTTAAAATCTATGAATTATTAATATAACATTATACACATTTCTAATTGCAATTTGAAAATTTTTTCAATATAATTGAAATTTAATTCAATATTATTGAAAATTATTCTTGAGAAATATTCAATGAATAATATTGTATTAAATAATATTATTGAAAATGATTAGAAATGCGCTTTCTGTTATACATAATTTATAGTTTTAATAGTTTTTGTAATCCTTAAAGTCTGTTTTACACATTCGTTTTTTTTTATATTGTAACTGGATACTCTTTATTTGAGAAATAATGCCTCATGATTTGGTGTTAGATATATTACATATTAGTATATAAATATATCATGTACATTAATTATTCCAAAATAAGACCTATAATAAGATAATTATGCGCTTCTTCAAAAAAATTACAGTGAAATTTTTGTCATGATTAAATCCATAGCTGCTTTCGCATCCTCAACAGAATTATGTGTTGTTACTTTTGTTTCAAGACACGTTTAGCCCATTCTTAAGCTATTACGATATGGAATTCCATTATAATGCGAATGTCAATGTGTCTATGACTTTTTTATGTACTAATGTGAGTGCTCAAAAATCGTTTTCTAAGGCGTTAATTAACGGAGATCAATTCCAGCAATTCGTATTGTTCACAGATTGTGACACTTCATGCATATCTTCCTTCATAACATTCGCTACATTTTGTAATATTGTTAACAATTATTATTAAAAGGTTTAATCAGCTTTTCATTTTCAACTTTGCCACATATAGTGACAACTGTCACTTTAGTTACTTCACTTCCATTTCAATAAAATATATTTTGAAACCTATAGCGGCAAAATTGCAGCGTCTTCTGCATGTTTGTTTTAGTCTTAGTGTGGACAAAATTCAAGAAACCATTCAACCCCGGCGGTAGTCCTGTTCATACATTTGTTTTTGCTGTGCAGCCATTTTTGGTTCTCTTTTCACAGCACGTCCAGTATTTGCTGGTAATATGTCCAATTTGTCCAATTGTTCCATAATTTTCCGTCATGATAAATACAAGAATATCTGTGTAATCGAAATATCATTACACCTCGCGCAGATCTCTTGCGGTAAAAATTCCATGCTGCTTTATTCGTGAGATTCTGAAGGCTATATTATTCGGTGGTATATGGCGTGTAATTTATTAAAGCACAATCTGACCTATCTGATTGTATTGGATATCCACATTTTAATTGCTCCGTGACATCTTATGTTGTTAGTGCTTCAGCAATTTTCTCTTCTTTGTTCTTGTTAGACGAGACTAACAAGAGCAAATTAAAGTTGTTGAAGCACTAACGACGTATGTGTGAACAACGGAGCAGTTGTTGAAATATGGTTATTCAACAGAAGCAGATTTGTTGTCATAAGCGATAATAAATTACACGCTATATCCGACTACACAATAATCTTTCGTCTAACAAGAGCAAAGAAATTAAAATCTCTCTATCCACGTATTTTGTTCTTCTTGCCACCTCAGTCATGATTCATTGAACTGTTGTTGCCAACGCACCTTATATCAAAAAGAAAAAAAAATAATATGCACAAGTTTATTGTGCCTACTCAGGTACCTGGATATTGACAGCACTCATAGAATTTACTGGAGAACCGTTATAATTTTCAAAATAAAAAAAAAAAAACAGATTTAACTCACATTAAATTCATTGATCAAATTGTAATGATACATTACAATGCACATAACGACATCGGAAAATTCACGATGTCATAATATTATTGTAATATTATTGTACTATTGTATATATGTATGTCGATTATGTAAATAATTAATTATGACGACAAAAAGACATCAGATGACGATCATTTGCTACTTGGGATACTTTCATGAGTATGTATTTATTATTTCGTAAATAGCGTATTTATCCATTCGATTGCGTTATGAGAGTTTATGCCGTCATGTAATAACTTTCTCCGATTTAACAGTGCGAAATTGTTGCACCACATTTGTGTTCTATCATTTTTCTTTCTAAAGAAAAAATGAATGAATAAAGAATGAATAAAGTTAAATGAAACGTTTACTTGTCTCATTACTTCCCACAATCTTTGTTAGCTATGAAAACCTACGTTCCTTGACAAATAAAAGGATACAGGATCTTAGAAAATTTGAGATAGATAAAGATCGATGGCGACCGAGTCGAATGTGCCGGATATCACAAATGTTTTAACTTATTAAATTAAAATTCATAAATATAAACTGCTAATGCTGACAGAAATATATTTTTGATACGAATGCACGATGAGAAATCGATGATTGATAGATAATAGTTAATCTTTTAATTTGTGTTTAATCTTTTCAGTATGTAAGATAATAAATTTATATATTAATAATAAATCTAATGAAATTATATATTAATAAATAAAGAATAAATTTTCTTTCTTTGAAAGATTTATAAAATTCATAATTTTACAATTCAATTAGTTAAACTTTTTTATTTAAAATTTAGATTTACATTTTTATGTAAGAACAAAACCTTTTAAATGTTTGCTATGTTAATGTTTGTTTAGAAAAGTTAAAAATATAAATTAGTGAATAACTCTTTAAGTTATGAATATTTTATTTATTATTCTATACTTTCTTTATAAAAATAAACGTTTTGTACATATGCATTAAAATAAGAGAGCCAAAAAAATCTTTTATACATATAAGGTAAGTAATTACAGCCGATCACTTTTCTTTAAACTCTCCATCTTTCTATGACTGTCTTTTTCCTCGGTTTGCTACTTTTTCTCAAAGGTTCTCTCAAAGGAAGCAATGCTCTGTCCAATATTCGAAGATTTCAGCCTTCTTCTAAAAGCGATCTAAGAGCGTACCAATTGTCTATGGGTCTTCTATAAAAACTATAACAGATAATAAACTAATAAATTACCTACACAGTTACTTATATGAAAAAAAAGAATTTTGCTATCGTAGCAAAATCATTGTTACTATTGCATATTAAATGTGACAGTGATAAAACTTTGTTACTTTAACTAATTTTTCAAATTATTCGGTATATTAGTAAAATTTTGCTGTTAAAATAGATTAATTTTGTTGAGTACATTTGTTCGTAAAGACACATTAATTAGTTTACAACAAAATAATTTATTTCTAACAAATGTATTATACTAATGCAGCAAATTCGGTTTAAAAGACTTAAATAGTAAAATATTGATTAATTGTGATCCAGAATGGATCAAAATCCGTTCATTTGAAAGCGTTATAATTGTAGATCAAACATGCTGACCTCTTTAACAATTCGCGGCAACAGCAAGGTTGCGCTCTTCACGAAACCGAGAGAGTCGCGAGTCTTTAGACTTGTATTCCATGATCGATGATCACGTGACAACCCGGCTTCTCGCTGGGAGCTCAGTTCACCATCTGGCGTTCTATTCACTGTTCGTGATAACCATAAACATCTAATTTGTACCAATTTTTTGTTAAAACGGAAAAATTTTGGCAGGCACGGTGGGTGAATGCCGTGGTGTATCAACGCAAAATAATACTTTCATACACATAAAATCTATGTATTGGTTATATAGATCGCCGTGTATTATATTGCGTATTATAGCGTGTTTCTTAGCGAGTTTTTCTTTTTTCAGTCGGTTGCGCGCACATGTGCCTGTGTGTGTGTATGTGAAAAGCGGTGTGCGGTGATTTTAAAGTGTTTGTTTTTATTCACATTGCGAAGATGGAGAATACGGAAGATGAAAGAAATATGTCAAAAATGACAAATGTGTCCAGCCTTTTGTTGTTACTTAGCACGCTGTTCATGGGTGGTCTCGTCATTGTCATTCGTTATTTCGCCAATCGATGGTCGAAATCCAGCCAAAGTTCACCGAAAGGTATAAGCATTTTTATTAGCTTTTTCTTTTTGTCAGAAATTTACTTTTTTACAGTTTTCACATCCGATGACACGCAGTTGATACAACAGTGCACACTTTATGTTTCTATTTTTTTATAGCAAAGTAGTGAGGATCATCTTCTTAGGGCAGGGTAAGCTTAGGTACTTAGGGCTACTTGGGATCAATTGACAGAAAACGATATAAAACTATTTATAATTGTGTAATACAGAAAACGTTTGAAAAATCATAATACGGATATGTATAAAATATATCAATATTATGTATTATAATTCATCTTACGAAAATATGTAAAAAATCATGAACAAAGAATTAAGAATTTAATATTACATATTTTTCTGCATTTTCGTTTCTCGGTATTTAAAATTACATATTAAATTAATAGAAAATTAACAGCAAATATAATCCAGCGTATTTAGCCAACTGTCGTAAGAACCGTAATAACTTTTATCATTTTTGCAACTGCGTTGATATCAAAGTATTCCAACGATGATAAGAACGATATTTTTTCCTTCTATGAACGATATTTTTTTCTTCTATGAACGATATTTTTCCTTCTATTATATATATAGTTTTTGAGTTTTAATTTTATTATTATAATTTAAATAGGAACAAAAAAGTATTCTCTTTTATGTTTAACAAAAAATACATGTCTAGCAGATTTTCTTTAGCGATGATTAGCGAAATTAATATTAAAAGGAGGGGCTACTGACTTAACGTTAAACCAGCACTTCCATCTTTTAAAACATGTTTAGAAAAAAATAAAATAAAACATGATTACTAGATTTATGTGCTAATTTTGTGCTCTATCATTATGTAAAGAGATTGCCAGAAAATTAAATTTAAATTAAAAAATATAAATGATAGATGTAGCGCTGCCAGCCAGCCAGCCTCCAAGAGTAAACTATGTTAAATTATATAATTTAACGCTATGTTAAATTAATTAATTTAAAAGGCTTCTTATATTTTGCTTTTAAGATATTCGAGTCTCGAATTTTATGCTCAATATTTAAATCGAAAAAAACATAGTTTATTCTTGGTAGCATCGCCACATTTGTCACTTGTATTTTTCAACTTAAACATTGAACATAAAATTCGAGATTAGGATATCTTAACAGCATAAAATATAAGGTCTTTTACGATTAAAAAAAAAATAAAATTATCGGCGAGCACCTATGAAAAAAATGTGCAAGCCATGAACAAACTACAAGCTGTGAAACCTTTGACTTGCTCGATCTCTACGAACTTTACGACCAACGCAATTTTGAAGTTAGTTTCTTTACAATCGCTTGTAAAACACCTGGAATATTCTAGTGAACGGAGTTTATTTATGAATAAAAGCAAATGTTTACCAGGTTATTATTAATTTCTAAAAAATTGTAGGTGTATGCTTCTGACTTACACATGCTTGCAATTTTCGAAATTAATACAGGTAGCAGATAATAATTCACATTTTATATAAAATTGTACATTTTTTTAATATGTTAATTTGGAAAATTGTACTAAAATTATTTTTAATTATATTTTGTATTTATGTATACATAATTAACTAAGCAGTGCTTTTATTTGTCGTCAAAGATTTTTTAGTAAATAAAGTCTTCTCATTATTTTATTATTGTAAACAAAATACACGGCAATTTATCCGTGCTGCATTATATTCAGAATTAATTTTTGTACTTGTGCATTTATAGATTCATTCGCGATGCCGTCCTCGGAACCATCATCACAATCGGAAAGTATATCGCAATCTTCGCAATCATTGGAGAAACGCCCGAAAAACAAGAAACGTCGAGAGCAACAGCAAGAATTCACGCATCCTTGGTTAATCGCCACGCTAAAAGGACATACAGGACTCGTCACTGATATGGCTTTCTCTAATAACGGCAAATATCTCGCGAGTTGTGCCGAAGGTAAGTGCAAAAAGAAATTATTCGTTAGTGTAATTTTAATCGGTGGCTTAATATATTCCGAAGAGAATACTCTCTGTATAAAACGATATTTGATATTCATTGCGCGGTTCGAAAAATGAAAAAAGAAAAATTCATGGCGGAAAATTTGATTCGGAAGAATTTGTCTTGCTCGGAGCTGTGATTAATGTTCATTATTTTCAATCGTTAATAAATAATATTATTTTTTTTATTTTGCAAAATTATATCACAGTGTTACTTTTTGATATAGAAATTAAAATTATAGTAACATTTTATTTTTGAAGCTGTAATAGATTTTTAATTATAATAATTCGGATGCTGTTAATCATAGAAATTTATTATATTATTTGGAGATTATTAAAAATCGAAATAAATGAAATAGTCTGCAATTAAAATTTGGAAGACAACAATTTTTACTGATTTATTCTGTCGAAATAAAGCTTATGGCTATAATTATAGCTTATAGATGTTTAATTCAATGAAGACGAACTTCGTAATTAAAGACAAGCGCCACTTGTAAGAGTTACATTACAGTGGAAAAGCAGAACAAGTAAAAAGCTTTTTTCTATTTTTAATGTATATCGTGATGATTCACGAGACGTGATGATTCGCGAGACCGCGCAGAAAACTGTACGATGCGACGCAGTTTTTCTGATATAATGGATTTTTTACGTCCATGCCTATCCCTTTTCATAATATATAGACAACTATAGCGGCATAGTACCACCTCTTTCTGTGATCGGTATTCTATTTTAAAAGCCACATTCTTTACATTATTATAAACATTCTTTGATGAATATTCAAAATTAACAAAGACTAAAATTTCTAGCATTAGAAAAATTTGTGTGAAAGACATGCGTTGGAAAGTTAAATAATAACCAGAAAATTTTTACTAGCTTAAATTCTTTTCGTTTATAATTAAAATATCCAGTGTGTGTGTGTATATATATGTGTGAAAGTGAAATAATTTGTCTAGATAGCTTAATATACCTGGACACTCTGCATAGCACGTCACGCGTTTAATTCTCCAGCGCATATAAAAAGAATCATGTGTAAGTCAATAATCTCTTTTATTTAATTCGTTGCTTTTATTTAATTACTGTATTTTTCCATGCTAAATTAGAGATAGAAATTCAACAGATGTTTTAAATAGTATTTAAACATCGCATATTAATGTTTCGCGTGTCTCTAGATCTGTCTTTATCATTCTTTAGATTTCCGTGTTATTTGAAAAATTTCTCATTATTTTATTATTTTGCTGCACATTTTCGTTTTTATGAGATTGGATACGCGATAAGAGAAATCTAAAGAATCTTAAAGATATCGATTCTAAAGGATTTTATAGTTTCTATTTTTTATGGTGGTTTATCCTTTGAATAATCGCGTACTGAGACACTCTGCACAATCTACTGGAACAACGATGTATGAATCGCGAAATTGTGTCGATCTTTATCACTCCTACTGATGTTTGAATGTCACTGCGAGTCGAAAAAAAGCAGGCACGATACATTCCATTTATATCCTGTGTCAAGATTCTGCCTTCTTGACAGAAAATGAAAGCATTGTCTTTGCGATATTAATGATAATAAGAATATGACAGCGTTGCGGCGCGCAGATCGTCGCAAATCATCATTGATGTATAAACGAATTTCGTTGCGATATCTTTCTTGCCTTTCGTCTCGCTTTAAGGAGATTTTATTTATCGTAAACGCAATTTATCGCTTTTAATCTTTCGAATTCTCGTGAAAACTTCGAATATTTTATGTTGATCGATCCAACACTTGAAGATTTCTTTTATCTCTCTTTGCATCGTAGCTATTCGCATTGTACTGAATGTTAACAGAGATTTCATTAATTAAATGAAAAGAAAGAAACAGAAAAGCGGAAGAAGGAGATATTTGCGTGTCTTGTATCGACATCTTTATCAATAAAAATAGATCTCCGGTGATATAAACTCACGCATATCTTTTTTTCTCTGTGACATGAAGATCGGAGGATTCAAAATATCTACGGGCAGTACTTCTCTATGAAATGGATTACGTGACAGCATCCACCGACAAGGATTCCTATAACACTATGACAAATAGAGTCGTACAATATAACAATCGTTAGTTTGGATCAACACAGATCGGGTTTTGCAAAATAATGTACGCGACCGAGAAGGAAGACAAGTATCCAGACGATCTCCAAGATCAACTGCTGCAAACAACGGACAGCTTTCAACACCGGCAGCTGCAAGTGAGATTATTCATCAAGAATAAAAAAATGCTGTGATACCGTACATATTAATGCTGGAACGACCGACTGAATACATCCACTTCATAGAATCAAGTTTTTTTTCTACTATAAATTACGCAGGAGAATTTCGCGAATTTCTATCTTGATCGCCGTGGTCGATCGCAATAGTTTCTACGGAGATAAATTTCTGGAATTGATTAATCTTTTTTTTGCGAGGCTACTTCTAAGGGAAATAGCTTTGCTCACAATAGATTGTTCCTAAAACGACTTCTCGTCGTTTTAAAAAGACGATACTTTTATAAGCGATATTTATTTCGTCAATAGTAGTATTATATTTATTCAAGTGCATTGTGAAACAGAATTGCTTAGTATTTAATGATCCGGCGATATGATATTCTGACGTAATGATGCTCTTTGGATTGATCCAGTGGCCTGAAATCTTTGTAAAAAAAAAAAAAGAAAAAGCTGCTATGGCGCGAGAGATGGTGGGAAAAGCAAGTGTTGACTGTGAAAATCGACTAAAATGTTCAGATTATTCTAAGCATTAATCTTACATTATTGAAACAAGAAAGGAAATTTTGTTATTAAAAATTAAAAATTATTTTTTGATATTTAAATTTTTAATATATGTAATATACTTTTAATATATTTTATTTTTAACTTGGTTCTTGTTCTCGCTAAGAAAAATTGATCAACTAAAAAAAAAATATTTGATATAGATTTCAGATTCATTTACATTGTGTGTGTTGTTAAATGTATGGTAGCTTGATTATATTGAAAGTTCATATGCAAGCAACAAGATTTAAAAAATTTTTTGGTGGAACTATTAGTTTTAATAACTGATGAACATTTTCGAAGCATTTCAAAATATTGATATATGATGTGTAGGATAATCTGTGTTAAAAGGTGTATTGCTATTTCTTTTATCTATCATAATCCGTGGTCGACACGATATGTAAATATTAATGTGCGCTTTCGGTCTCGTTCGCAAATCGTTATTGCGATAACGAAAATTGGAAATAGCTCAAAAATTTTAATTTGCAGAATATGAAAGCTCATAAATAGCTTATAATTTTGCGGTAGTGGTTTTTTTATTTGTGCAAGGTGGGGAGGGGGGGCAGCTCGACAGGGGTGTTTTTTGTACTACATATTTCATCGTCTGTAAATAGCTAAAGTGGATAATGATTCATGCGATGGACGAGAGACAAGGTGCAATACACTTATCGATAAACGTATATCGTTGTTACAGCTGTAAACTGTGATATTCGCAAGGTTAATTTTCGCACACACACCCACACACACACACACACACACACACACACACACACACACACTGTTTATTTTGGCAAATATTGTTCGTTTCGTGATTGTCGAAGTAACTCGATCTTTAGACTGTCAGACGCAGCGGGCTCGACAAAGGTTGCGAGAATGCGAAAACAATTTTAATAATGATTATCTGAATTAATCATAATTAATCAAAATGATACCATAAACATTGACTGAATGAAAATAATAATAGCTCTTGAATAATTTTTGAAAGAGAGATCTTGTTGGTAAAACTACATCGACCATGTGTGCATTTTCTTCTGTCGAAGAAATTAATAATGCGCATATTTATATATGTTTAGCCTGTGTAATGCACATATTTGTTTAAATATAATGAAAACAATGAGTACAAGTGTGTTTTTGAATTCTGCAGACTTTACTAAAAATTCTTGTTTCTTTTGCGTTTTTTGCGAAGAAAGAAACAGTAAGTGATTAAATCGATGAAAATATCGTAATCTCTTAAACAACGAAAGCAATCTTTTGTCAATCTTAAATTTTTCTCTTTCTAATTGAAACTAAATGTGTATAAACTCTTCTTGAAAACGAAGAAACTGGATCAATTTATCTACCGCTAAAATAATAAAATTGAATTGCTATGATAAGACTTGAAATAAAAAAATATTTGTCTAATAAAAAATTAAATATTGGAGTCGACATACCACTCACTCAACTTCGAAATAATATTCAGGCTAACAATCTAATCTAACTTCTTGCGTCTTTGAGAATCCATCATATGTGAGCAAAATTAGTCACTTTTGTGCGCATTTTCATTGTATCCGAACGTAAAATCGTATTTGGATTGAAACTGGAAGCCACGTTGAAGATTAAAAATTACATACCACTGTATGTAATATAAATATAATGTAATATAAAAACATTTCATGCTCTAGTTTTATGCTAAATTAATAATTGAATTTGGATTTTTTGACGATTAATAATAGGTTGCGAAGCTACCGAGTACTTCAAAGTAAAATTCCTATATTAGAAATTATTATTTCCTATATTAGAAATTTTTAGTAAACTTCGTCATTTCCTTTTATTTATATTAAATTTAATTATCCTGATTTTGTTAATTAAGTCAAGAGTATTTAAAAATAATAGTAATTAATAGAATATATAAGAGAGTAACGTTTTAATACATTGCTAAGTTAATTATTCAGAAATGCTGATTTTTTAAAATTTATATTAATTATGTTTTATATATATATATATATATATAAAATATTAGAATAAAGAATGTATTATTGATGCTTATAAAGTTGAATTTAATGCGATTTACCGCTATTTAGCGTGTGACTGATTTTAGGTACGAGTCCTAAAACAGATGTCGCTATTGCGTATGTTACTCTTTCTTTCTCTCTCTTCTATCTTTCTCTCTTTCTCTCTTTCTCTCTCTGTCAAGAAAGGGTTTGTAGCCCTATGACATACATCATGGCTAACTCTGATACCACATGTTTGTGATGGTGAATTTGTATGGTGAATTATTGTCGACTTCTTTTTAATCTTCAACGTGGCTTCCAGCTTCAATCCAAATACGATTTTACGTTCGGATACAATGAAAATGCGCACAAAAGTGACTAATTTTGCTCACATATGATGGATTCTCAAAGACGCAAGAAGTTAGGTTAGATTGTTAGCCTGAATATTATTTCGAAGTTGAATGAGTGAAATGCTGAACTGTTTATCATAAAACTTTGAATTGCCTTGCATTTCCATCTTTAGTACACGTCAACTGTACAAAAATGTCGGGCGGAGATAAAGGTCCCGTTCCACCGCGTTGGCTTCACTGTCCGCGCAAAGCGATGAGGATGATCCAGAACAAATTTTTGGCCTTCAAGACACCTCTGTCTTCTGCCTATGACAGTCAAGTGCCCGAGGCGTGCCGTTGGCGCGTGGATATGCTCTTTGCACATCTGAAGAGTCAGAAATTGACGATGGGATTGTGGATAGACTTGACAAACACGACGAGATTCTACGATCGCAAGAGCATCGAGGATCACGGCTGTAAATACTTGAAACTGCAATGTAGAGGTCACGGTGAGACTCCGTCACTGGAGCAGACCCACATCTTCGTGGAGGTTTGCAAGAATTTTATTGCGCAGAATCCATTGCAGATCATCGGTGTACATTGTACACATGGCTTTAATAGAACTGGATTTCTGATAATCAGCTATTTGGTGGAAAATGACATCAGCAGCGTTGATGCTGGGTTAGCGGAGTTTACTACTGCAAGACCACCTGGAATTTACAAGGGCGATTACATACAAGAGTTATATAGACGATACGATGATGAGGAGGATGCTCCACCTCCACCTGCAAAGCCCTCATGGTGTCTGGAATGTGATGAGTCCAACATCGAGGACACAGATCAAGAATCAAGTACAGAATATGAAAACGGTCATCAAGAGGGACAGGGCAAGAAGAAGAAAAGAGAGTACAACAATAGAAATCCAGTATTCATGGCTGGTGTGCCTGGTGTTACACCTATTGTAGAGAAGATGAGACTGTCAGGAATCCAGAAACGAGTTCAAGAGATTTGTGGGTGGACGTCTACAGGATTCCCAGGTTCCCAGCCTGTGTCCATGGATGTCGAGAATATGAATTTGTTGCATACGAAACCATACCGTGTCTCCTGGAAGGCAGATGGCACAAGGTTTTAATTGAAGCTCCATTCCAATATTTATTAAAACAAAGAAAAATCAAAGAAATCTATTGTCTCATTCATTGTCTTCTTTTAGGTATATGATGTTAGTGCAAGGAGATGGAGAAGTATACTTCATAGATAGAGATAATAGCATCTTTGAAGTAAACGGGTTAACATTCCCTCATTTGCGAGACATAAACAGATGCTTGAGAGATACTCTAATGGATGGTGTAAGTATAATTCTATTGATAATTATTGCCTAAAATTATGAAAAACATAACTAATTTTCTCAAAAAAATAATTTTAAATATCAAATAACTATTTTTCATAAAATCTTTATTTTAGGAAATGGTGATCGACAAAGATAAGGGCAAAGATATACCTAGATATTTAGTATACGACGTTATTATGTATGACGGGCAAGACGTTAGCAAGTTACCGTTTTATCCTGACCGTTATTCCATTATCGAGCATAAAATAATTGCCGGTAGATTAAGAGCTATGAAGGAGGGACGATTGATAAAGGAACGAGAACCCTTCTCGGTGCGACTGAAGTATTTCTGGGACGTAACATTGAGCAAAAATTTATTAGGCGAGAAATTTGCCAAGCAGCTTTCCCACGAACCAGATGGCTTGATATTTCAACCCGCTAAGGAAAAATATTGCACGGGAACATCCCCGGAGGTCTTAAAATGGAAACCATTGTCATTGAACTCTGTGGACTTTCGATTGAAAATCGTCACGGAATCGGGTGTGGGCATTCTGCCGAAGAAGATTGGCCATCTGTACGTAGGCGGGTTGAAAACACCGTACAGCACGATAAAGATCACTAAACAGATCAAAGATTTGGACAACGAGATTATAGAGTGTAAATTCGAAAATCGACAATGGATCTTCATGCGGCAGCGAAATGACAAATCGTTCCCTAATTCCTTTAATACAGCCGAGTCTGTGTGCAAGAGCATCAACAAGCCGGTCACGAAGGAACGACTTTTGGAGTTCATTGATAGATGCAGATTTATGCAGGATGACTCGGACCTTATGCCACCGCCAAGCAAGAAATTAAGATAATCCTAGATACACATTATTCGACTTATGTACATTTATGTTAGTGAATCATACATACGCATAGAAGTATCGCAATTTTTACATCTCAAGTAAGTTTTCCGAATACATCATAAAGAATAAAACGTTTGCGAAGTATATTTATGTATTATAGATTAATTAGCGATTCATATTTATTTAATTGCAGCATGGGTACTGGACTCTTAAGTCTCGATTTGATTTTATACTTCTCGCTGTGTTCTTAATATAATTAATTCGATCCGATTTTTAATTGTATGTTGATTGTATGTGATGAACCATAGATAACAGTTTGAATATATCTTTTTGCTTTTAACAAATGAAGAAAAGAGAAGAAAAAGTAATATAGCACAAAAGTGATGGAAAAGTAAATATTTACGACATCGAGATGTCCACTTTATGTTTGTGATAAATGTGCCCTTTTAATTTTGATTTTGATTATCTCTTTATCAGAATATTTCTATTTACTCAACGTTATACGATGTAATATTCTGATCAATTAAAATCGATTGTTGAATAAAGGAACTTTGTAATAATACTTATGTATTGCAATTATTTAATATCCTCTTATTCCACATTATCTAATAGAATATAGAATATCGATTATATCTAATTTTAATAATTGTCTTTAATCTTAAATTAATATTCTATAAAATTATTTGTTGCTTACAATAGTTACTGAATAATTAATTCACAGAATTTTGATTTACTTATTCACACAATTTTAACTTTTTAATTGACAGAAGTTAACTTTACGATTTCTATTTCGTTTTATTGCAGATCGTACCGTGTTGTTGTGGTATCCGAAAGAGTTCACGTCAAAAGATCGCAAATCTCTGCGTATCAACATAGAATTTGATCATGCAACTTTGATACGTTGGTCGCCGGATGGAAAGGCATTCATTATTCACAAAGCTGTGGCTAATGTCGTCGAGGTGTATAAAATCACCAAGAAATCTGATGGCCACTTAGGCTCTGCTACCAAAGTGCTGGAGTTTCCGCGGGTATCATACCTAATTTATGTTATTCTTGTTCTAAATTATTTTATTAATTAATATTATAAATATAGTAATTAATCTGTTGTGTATCATATTAACTTTTGTATAGCGTCACACCGAGGATGTCGTCGGAATGGATATCGCGTGCACCGGGAAATACATCATCACGTGCAGCAAAGTAAACGATCTTATTATATGGGACTTGAAAGGACAACCGTTGGCGACTCTAGAGATGCATCTCGGATCTACTCATCGCGCACGCATATCACCTTGCGGTCGATTCGTTGCTGCCTCTGGTAAGGAAACTGCATTTCGCTTTTAAATACATTAATAAAATTCTCCTCCTGAAAGTGAAATACAAAGATATTAATGTGAAATCATCTTTACAAAGGCTTTACACCGGACGTGAACGTATGGGAAGTGGTGTTCAGCAAATCCGGAGAGTTCAAACAAGTGGCCAAGGCGTTTGACCTTGCCGGGCACACGTCCGGAGTTCACGACTTTGGTTTCAGCGCCTGCACCAGTCACATGGCCACCGTGTCCAAGGATGGAACGTATCGATTCTATGACACGAAAAGTAACGTATATTTTACATAGATTTACTTGATTTACAGCAAACTTGAAAGATCTCGAAAAATATAGAATTCAAATAACGTACGAAACATTCATGAATATATTATTTCTTTTTCAGTCGAATTTGACAAAGGAGAAGACCCGCATGTTCTAATGACCGGTACCTGGTCCAACACGACACCGGCAAGCCTTGCTTTATCTCCGAATGCGGAGGTTTTAGTGATCGCGCATGGGTCATCTATATCTTTATATTCCACTATCACGGGCGTTTTGGATAGTACCATAGAAGACATCTTTCTTGGTAATTATATACATAATCCATTGATTTCCGTATATGTGTAATGACTTGAGAAATTTGTAAACTCTTCAATATTCTTATAGGACCCATTACATGTTTGGCCTTCGACACTGTGGGAAAATATCTATTAGTTGCGGGTAATAAGCACATAAAAATTTTCCACAACATTCCTGGATACCGAACGGCGATAGAGTCTGCTAAACGCAAATTGCAGCAAAGGCAGACGCAAGCAACAAAAGAGCGTCTGGAAAGGATAATTCAGGATAACAAGGAGCTGCTTATAAAAATGGGAGAGAAATATCCAGAATGACGTTAATTCGCACTCTCTTCGATTGTTCCACGGTGCGCCGAAACTGATTAATAAAAATTAACATTTTTCCTTAAGATCAAATAATTTCTGTATCATATGAATGTTAATATATGAATTTACCTATTTTTTGGTAATAAAGATTTTCATATGCGTGCATCTCTGAATGTTCTTAATGTTATTTTTCAGAATTTTACTCTTAGATTCATGAAAAAAATTGCATATCTATACACAGACTTGTATAAATTTCGAAAATCTATATGCAACAATTAGTAACAAATATCTTTTTTAATTTCATCTTATTTTCATGCTATTTTAGTCCAATAAATTTCGATAAATCAGCATGGTATTAGAAATACTTAAAATAACATCACAGGTTTCATTATAAATGTCCGAAAATTAGTAGATGCTAGCTTTAGAAAGTGCACACTAAATTTTATGATTTATCTGTGTGAGTAAATAAAAATTCGCAAAAATTTATTAAAATCAAAATAATGGGATTTGCATCGTGAATTGTTATATATACATTACGGATGCTGTCTAAACAATTTTTATTGTTACCCTTGTATTTCTGACTACCATGTGCCCAAGGAGATAATTACAATTTTCATTATAAGACTTCGTACAACGTCGACATACACAAAACGTTTTCACTTTTTTATATCTCTCATATCGTGCTATTTTTCTTTTTTTTCTTTTCTTTTTTTTTTTTTTGTACAAGAGTGTGGCCTATTAACAAACTACAAAAAATTTTTATATAATAGGTAACTATATACAAAATAGTATCCTTGGCATCGTGAGTTATAAACTGCAAATCTCGGCAATAGAACGCGCGAGTATGATCGCCAACGTTCAAGAACACGTTTTTGTAGTATGACTTTTGGGTAAATGTATGACAATATCGGTGGTATATAACGAGAGCGGTACATCTACTTGAAGGACATCTTAAATTTGTTTCATATTTCTATTAGATTAGGCTAGTAATTTTCTTATCACTAAAGGAAACACTCATAACTTTAAATTTCTTTAAAACTATACATGCTTCTTCGTTTCAGATGTTTAAAAAAAATATTTTATTGTTTAATAACAAATATAATTGCTTTTTATTATCGTCAATGAAAATTTTATTTTTGAAACAAAATGATACTGATATAAATTTTCTTTTGTAAACATTTTTGATGAACAATTTTCAAGCTGCTTCTGCATGTACTGCATTACAAAATTATGAGCAGCAAGGTAAGTGAGAATTTCGAAAAATTTAATATAAAAATGCAACAATATCCAAACTAAACATTGATGTAATATATCTTATCACATTTACGTATGTTTATTGCGTTCTATATGTTTATTGCATTAAATTATGCATCACGTAAATTCAATTAAAATTACCGAGTTTTTACGTCGAGAACTATTTATTATGCTTCAAAAATGCTGGCTGATTCGATAATAAGAATGTAAATTTATAGTAAATAATATTATGATATTGATTATAACTTAAGTTTAAACACAAAATAGCTTTAAACACGCTCTAATATATATAAAATTTTCAGAAATTATGTTTATGTAAGAGCGGAAACATATGCAATATCTTTTTGTATCAATTTGCATCAATTTGCATTGCTTTTACTTTCAATGACAATCCTACTTCATGAGAGTAAAATAATTAGCATTACTACGCAGTTTTAAATCTACAAAAATAATAAATATCGTTTTTTAATTCAATATCTGATATTTAATGGCAGATTAATGGTATTTGGAAACCATTTTTTAATCCGCCAGTTTATGTAAAATTTGAAGCAACACAAAAAACCTGAAACAAAAAAAAAACATTTTAACAATGATGTGAGTTGTCACGCATGGTTTCAAGTGCTTCTCTTATTACTAATTAAAGATGCCATCACACGTTATCACTGAGTGAAAAAAGTTACAAAATGGAGTCTTGATCACTTGGTGTCGGGTAAAATCTTTTGCTAGTTTATCCGCTTTGCTTTTCTGTTTTTTTTCCCTTTTTTTTTACATATCTCTAATGACGCGTGCATTAGAGTTCAATATTTCTTCGCAGCCACGAGGAAACGTTAAACTCTTTTTCGCGTTGGTGCGTACAGTCTACTATGCAATAAATAGATAATGTGGTTTATTTCTTCTCCTTGTCCATTTCACCAAACTCCTTTTTGACAGAAGCTTTATTGTCGGATTTTTTGTCCTTATCTACGTCCGCGGATTCCTTCTTCACTAGGATCTTGTTGTCTCCCCATCTGGTATCAGTTTTAAATTTGTTCTCCATCTCAGATCCGTTTATCTCTCCACCGACCTTTTCGTCCTGAATTTCCACCACCTCCACCTTTCGCGTATCACTCTGCATCATCTTCGCTGCTATATGGTATATATTCTTCACGGCAGTCAGATAAGTATGGCAATCCGTCTGTAAAAAATGTAAAAAATAGATAACATTTCAATATTCGTTCTCCGCGAGCTGAAAACAGGAGACAAGCATACTTACAGATACTTTCTTGAGCTTTTCTTCCGCGCCTCGTAATTTATCTTTGTACATTTTTAGATCTTCCGACAGACCCTTAATATTATTGGTCTGTTTTGTAGATTTTTCATTGGTTACAGTTAATTCGTGTTGCAGTTCCATCATGCGATCCTCGGTGTCCAAACGCGCCTTTTCAGATCTTTTCAACTGACTAACGAGCTTTTCTACATCTAATAAGGAACCTTTGAACATGACGATGCCTTCCGGAATCATTTCTTCATCGCTTCTTTCCACGACGCAATCCTCTCTCCGCGCTCTTTTTGAAGGTGGTCCACTTCCCACAAACACAGGTAACAGTTTTTTATTTCCTGTGAACATAAATATATAATAACAGTATAAAAATATAATAATTGATTATATTGACATGTTGTAATATTTGTGTTAAGAAGATGAATTACCAAGGGCAAGCGAACGTAATAATATATCTTCCTCGTTGTCCGCTTTGATCGATTCACCTCGATCGCTCTCTTTATCATCTTTTTTCTCGTCTTTTAAGTCATCCTCTTTCGACTTGTCAGTTAATTTGCGATAGTGCAGAGAATCTCTCGTAACGACCTTTTGTACTAATTTTCGTACCTGAGCTCTTGACAAATTGAGTCCCAGGGTATAAATGAGTTCTTCGATATCCTTATCAAATATATATCCGCAGTGTGTCTGATCAAAATATACAAATGATAGTAGAAGATAAGGATCGTAGGTGTACAGTTTCGTTTTCCTCTTCTTTCCGTCCTTATCTTTGTCCCTCTTACTGTCTTTTACAGAATCATCATCCTGTAGAAATAATTGCAATATTCATGTCATAAAGTATAAATACACATATATATTTTGCATCTTACAACTCATATTGCGATTACATATTTTCGATAGTTAAGGAAAATATTTGTTGCAAAATATAAACAGTATGTTTGAAACGAGATTGGCATTTTTTATAAGCGCCATTTACTAATCATTAATTGCACTTTGAAGTTTTACGTTTACTTGTCTAATCTGTTAATCATAAAATTTCAAAACGTCACTAATTTTATCGGTAAAAGACACTATATATATATATATATATATATATATAAAAATTGATCCCATTATTTTCTAAACATACTGTGTAAAATAAAATATAAAGAGTGAATTCTTACGTCTGATTCGTCTTCCTCGTCCTCCTCATCATCATCATTTTTGTCCTTTTCTCTGTCTTTATCATCCACTTTACTTTTCGCATCTTTGTCATCTTTCTTATCTTTGGCTTCTTCTCTCTTCTTGTCGTCTCGTTTTTCATCCTTCTTACTGGATTTCTTCTCATCTTCTTTCCTTTTATCATCCTTCCTATCATCTCTCTTATCATCTTTCTTGTCTTTCTTCTTGTCTTCATCCTTTTCCTTAGACTTTTCAGGCAGATTGGACAATGAGCGATAAATCCGAAAGCCAAAATCCCGCATCAACATTTCGTTGAATAATTCAGCAAAGAGAGATACTTCAAAAGAATGCTCCTACATAAAAAGCAATTTTTGTATACACATTATTCTTCTTAAAATAATAAAAAAATAATTTCTATAGAAACAAACCTTTGTGTCTTCTGGTCTGTAATCCAACAATACGCTCAGCGACATAACTGTACAGTCAAATTTTCCACTCTTGGCATTTCTAGAGGGATGAACGATAATGTGCGATGAATCCGGCAAAGTGTACTTCTTTTCGAGTACGGCACGTTCGCGTTCATAAAGTTTCCTCTTGTCCTCATCGTGCTATGAACAATGCAAATTAATAAATATTAACCAGTTGAGTGGTAATGTATCATATATGTACAAAAAAAAGTGCCAAACGTGGTAACGTATCATATATGTATATTTCTAAATAACTCCATTAATTTTCAACAGATTTGCACAAAACTTGATATCCTAAGGTTTTTTGAGCTGCTGAATTCGAATCTGTTGTCAAAATTGCAAAATTCAAAATAGCGGATCCAATATGGCGACTGTTAATTGTTAAAACGACTAAAATATTGGAGTTAGGTAAAATATGTATAAGACCTTATTTTTTTATGAGTTTCATTTTTTGTTTGACAACTTTTTCCGTACAATAAATACTTTCTGAAATAATTAACAAAAACAGTTTTATTTTTGAACCTTTGAGGGGGGCTGGAGGGCGGAGAGGGGCTGGAGGGCGGAGGGGGCATTTGCGCCAAAATCCATTTGGGAATATTATTTACTAGATAAAATAAGTATTTACGCTGAATATAAGCCAAATCGAAGGTGCTTTTCAGAAGTCCACCCCCCTTTTTTGATCCACCTCCACTTTTGACTGGAAAGTCGTAGTAAACATTTTCAAAAATCATTGTTCTTGAAACGCACTTTCAAATCCCCACTCGACCCATAGTGCCATTTAATATTTTCCACCCTTATTCTGCCCCCCCGCCCCCCAGGGCGTGGGATGCACACCCATTCCAAAAAGTTGCTTTTTCGAAAACTTTGAACCCATGTTTCACCGTTTTTCGATATTTTAACTTTTGGCACAAATCTTTCGGAAAAGTCTACCACTCAACTGGTTAAAAATTTGAAATATTCTTAAATATCATTATATTAAATATATGCGCACTAAAATAATTCTGTGCATATTACTCACATCTTTATTGTCTCTGAATTTTTTATCATCCTCTTCTTTCGATGGTGGTGCGACATCCTCTTCATTTTCATCGCCTTCGTCTTGCCGACCTTCCTCTTTGGCCTGCTCGGACTTCGCCGCCTTCAAAAGTCTCGCTAACAATTGGGACTTCAAGCCTTTCGAGCTTAGACTGCGAGCTACTAGTTCTTGACGCAATTCGTTCACCTAAATCGAACAAAGCAAATTGCGCTAGAATTCAAAGCGACAGAGTAAAAATAGAAAAGGTTTGATTTCATATTGCATTTAAATACTAACGTTCATCGATTTCGGATCTAGCTCGGAATAGTGCGTAGGATCCTTCTTCTCGGGCATAGAATCGTCCTGGAAGAAGAAAGTGCACGTTAGTGGGAAAGGAAGTAAAAAGCCCAGAGAGAAAACTACAAAACAGAAGCAGCCCCTATAACGAAACGAAACCACTCCCTCTTCATTCTTTCATCGCTCTCTACTTTTTTCAACACTCTCACATTGTAAACGATATACACATATCTTCATTCACGATGACCGTCAAGTATGACTCAAGTAACTGCTAGAATCTCATAGTGTCCTGGCTCTGGTGTCTGTGTGATCGGTAGGTAATGGATAATATCAATAATGTTGTAGTATATAACGATGATGAAATGAAACTTTTGAATGATTTCTCAATGTTGGTGAAGGTTTCAGGAAAGGGAATGGCTCAGCTGCGCTCTTCTCCGAGCTAGGCTTGCTTGCTTCTCTTGTTAATGCAATGTGACTGCCATTGGCTAAGGAAGCAATACATTACCCGTCGATCCTCGTTTGCGACATTAGGAAAAACGTTAAGAATTCTTGTTAATTTATATATACGATAATAAAATAGCGATCCTAATTTTAAGTTGACATTCAGAATTCGGCTTGTTAAGAATGGGCGACATCAAGTTTTGCTATCATAAATGCTTTTTCCTATAAAACATGATTTTACAGATAAAAGTCAAATCCATGGAATTCAACATCTAATCATTCACTAATGATGCGCGTACTTGCGTTTTTAAGAAAATTACCGCTGCCTTGACATAGCGTACTCACACGCTAACATTTAAATTGTGAATTTAATTAACGGCAATGCCATACAAGAGACGAAAATGTGATAGTTATCCGAAATAAATTATACTATTGACAGGATCGATGGACAAGTATAGCCTATTGAAAATCCAGTTTAGTAATGGGGAAACGGTGGCACAAATATATATATATATATATATGTATGTGTATATATATATATATATATTGTATATAGATATAAATATATAATAAAAAGGTATAAAAATAATGGGATGATGTTGGCAGTGCCTTTTGATCAGCGACGGCAGCATCATCAGGTTCATTGGTAGCATCCAAATCGTCGGGGTTACAGGCGGCACGCAGCAACTTTCGCTCCAGTTGTTTCTTATAGTTGAGTTGCAGCCCGTCCCATTCCAATCTGGTAGGCACACAGCTCCAAACATCTGGGAGAAATAGTATGACGGTTTCAACGCGAGAGGGTACCACTCGCCCGGACTTGTGGGTCGTTTCTGCACGTCTGTAGTAGAGTTCCAGGAAGCGGTACCTGTGCCGCAAGGAAAAACAATACCCAAACGTCAACTCAAGTTAATGCCGCTTAGCGTTGCCTTATATGCTAAGTGTTCGCTCGCTTGTTCGTAAAGCCCACGCACTGCATACAAAGCCACGTACAGCGCACAACGTAGAGACCACATTTGAGAGACAGAGAGAAGAGAGAGAGAGATAGAGAGAGAGAAAGAGAAAAAGCACAACTCAGTGGGTCACAATTAATATAATAATAGAACGATAGTGATGATTTGTCTGCCGCGACTGCTCGTATATCGTCGTCGATCGGGGGGGTGTGCTCGAAACTGGGATCCAGTGCAGCAATCTCCATCGGTCGCTCGTGTTTACAATAAATACATACCTCCACTGCAGAGAGATTGAGTTACAATCTTAACTTATCAAGTCAGTGAACTGATGTTAGAAGTTACTCTCCGATTGTGGATAGTACACCTATCGAATATATATCTTAACACCATAGTGTTCTGTACACTGATCTTTTTTATCCGAATAACTCGTTTTTTACGCCGTGGGGGTAACTCTAGAAATGTAATCCTAGATAATATAAAAAAAAAAGATGGAATTTTTAAGAGATAAAAATACCCGCAAATTGTGACCTTCGGTACTCGGTTGCAAAGTGGTATTGCCGGAATGCGGAATGTGCAAATATCAACGAGCAGAAAAATTCAGTGATATCACATTGCTCTTTGTAACGAATCGGGGCTTTAAAAAAAAGCTGTTTATAAAAGTGCTCCAGAGATTTTCGATCAATGAAAAGTATTACTATTGGAAAAAAGCATACCACTGAGTGCAGCTGGATAAATCTATGCCGGTAAGTGCTTTACAGGTCCTCACGGCTGTCCTGATTAATACGGACGGATCCTTTTCAGGATTAGGCCCGTCTAACGAAGGACTCCATGGCCCACCAATTGCCATTGTCTCGTTTTTGCCTCGTAAGCCTACTAAGAAATTTATGAGGCGCGTAGGATGAACGTAATCGCGATCCGGATCCCTGTCTTCAGAAACCCCGCAACACCTTTTGTATATTTCTTCCATGGCGGGCATAGATATGAGCATGACCTAAAATTAAGAAATATTTAGTATATAAAATCATTTTGATGCATGTAAATATATATATTTCAATTTCTATTTGTTACAAATATTTTGACACGTTTAATCAAAATTAAAAAAAAAACTGTTTCTTGTATTCTTGTTTTATATAATGATCGCAACACAACTTCTTAACAAACCTTTGCAGAGAACAGATAGTCAGCATCCGAGGGTTCTAGTACTGCTGTATTTTCGATACACGGGTCGACGTCTTTATGCATAACATGGAAAGAGCACGGTTTATTAAGAGTAAATGGCATGTGGGGCGGAAAAGCATCGACCCATCTGAAGTTAGTGGAAAAGAAATCGCTAGGAATGTACATGTTTTGATAGCGTCTTCTTATCTCAAGAACATCTGCTTCAGGCCTGTGATAATAAGCAGCGATAAAGCTTTACGAATCCTACACGTCCGCTGTGTGAGATAGACAAATTGCACTTACAGATCCAGTGCGATTTTTGGTATTTGCACCATGTAACGCGGCACGACTCTCGTACGCCGACGAGGTCTTGGCGATTTACTCCTCCTAGTCCTTGACGGACTGCGATCCTCTTTCTTCTCACGTTCTCGTATTCTCTCTTCACGACGTCTCTTCCTTTCTATTTCCTCATCGTCATTTCTTCGTTCGCGAGGAGATCTTTCTCTTACTCTACCAACTTTGTTACGGTTGCTAGTAGCGTTGGAATTTGTCGTACTTGTGAACCTACTAATAATAATTTAAGGTTTAGTTAAGACGTTGCGTATCGCAGTTCATGTTACAGCTCCTATTGTCCGAATATCCAGAATCCAAATTCTACAGTATTTAGATTTAAATACTTTTGCTGAATTATTTAAATATTGTAAATTTCTTCAAATTATTAATTTAGAATCAACAAACGGCAGACATAAAACTTTGACATTTGATACTCAAGATTTGGATATCCGTAAATCAAAACAGCAGTAAAAGTATTAATTTATGTCTGAAACGCAAGTAGAAATTACATAGTAACAATGCTATTGAAGATAAGTAATGATCACTTCACCTGTTGTTAGAATTTTCTGCAGGAGGTGGTACAGCATTATAATTGCCTGATGTCCTGTTTGGTTGTTGTTGCTGCTGTTGCTGTTGACGATTTGGTTGGTTATTTTGTTGAGTATTTGCATTATTGCTATTATTCACCATAGGCAGCACTTGTACTCTAGTAGCATTCCATTTAAACGGCATAGAAGGATTGTAGGACGCCTCTACAAGTACGCGATCTCCCACTACAGGATTAGATCCCTTTACACATACACTGGGAAGAAGAAAAAGAGATTTAACAGAGCATATAAAACAGAAATTTGAAAAAATTTATTCAACTTGTTGCTTACCTAGTTTGGAAAAATACATCTTCATCTACAAAACCAAAATTATCGTGAACTTTGGTAACAGTGCCTGTGAAAACTCTCTGCTTTGTAGACGATGAAGGTACATTCTGTTGCATCTGTTGAGGAACACCAGCCACAGACGGTTGAAATGCATTTGTGTTCAATGCTCTTGGTGTTGGATAAGAAACTGTGGCAACTTGCGGATACAATTGTCCTGTTATTCCTGATGGTAAGTTAGAGCCAAGTGTTGCCATTGAAGCCATAGTGATGTTGGGCTACAGAAATCACACAATCGTTTATATTTATCATATTTTTCACTGATTATTGGACAATTAATATATCAGTCTTGTGGAAACATTAACTTTGCATTTTAAAATAAATCAATATTTTATTCCTATATAAATATAAATAATTTTGAAAAGTAAATATTAGATTTGATTTATGATACATCCATATATGTTTAAATTTAATATATAGTTTAATCAAGTATTCAAATGTAATTTAACATTTGAATAAAATATTACATTAAACGTAGCTTAACTTATGAATTATATGAATTATCCTTGATATTTACCTGTTGTAATCCCAGACTTTGTTGATAGACTTGTTGGGGTTGTTGTTGATATTGTACCATAGGCTGTCCACCAATACTGCCCATGGCTTGACCCAGCATTTGCTGCTGGATGTTTTGTATACCTTGTCCTTTTACAAACATTAAAAATTATTACGGATTTTTAAACGCCTTTTATATTAAATATTAACAATGACATGCGAAAAATCGTTTAAAAAACTGCGTTGAAAAAAATAAACAATCCAAAACAATGTTTTGTTTTGGATGACAGTGTGTTTATCTCGGATATTGTAAATAATTAAGAAAAAATTAAAATTTTGCGAGATATATAGTTGACAACAAAGCTCAAAGCAATGAGGGAAAAAACAGACGACAATTCCTCCAGATATCACACCGTTTTAGCGACGATGGCGTTACGCCAAAGGTCATTGAGGAACGAGGGCAAACCTCGAGCGACCCCAAAATGAAACGTCGCGCGGTGTGACCGATAACGCGCACGAGAGCTTGTATAAGTAGATTTGTACAATCAAAAGTGTTTGTTGATTAACGATAAATCAGTTACGGAAGAAGATTTGGCAACATCGTTCTACTGCACACGAAACGACGAAACTCTTGCACGCTGTAATCTCCAAGAAAAAAAAGAGCATTACACTTACCTGCATTACGGACCCACGGTGGGTTCTTGCCACCGCCGAAGGGTGACAGATTACTCATCCTGCAAACGGGTGTACTGACTTGTCAAATCAGTTATGTGTATGCGTAAACGCGACAGTAAATCTATCAGCACTCACGTTCAGCGTCCTTCATTCAGGCGCCATGTTTTCGGATGTACTACGCGAATCGAAAGTGCATCTCAGTGTGAGCATAAAGGTATATCCAACGACATATATACTTTGAGTTATGGCACATAGAAAAATGTAAGCGGTAAATTTAAGCGGTAAGCAAATTAGCCAATGGCTATCTTACGTTTTCAAGAATACTCGACTGTGGTTGGTCAATTTGCTCACTGCTTACGTTTCTCTATGTGCAGTACATGTGCAATGACCCTCACATTTGGCTATTAAACATGGCTGACTATGACAACCAATTAGAAATCGTCACCTCATTGTCACAACTTTTATTATAAAAACGTTAGGTATTCACTCCGGTCCGCTTACACAAAATTGGAGATGTTGCGGCGGATGCACGGTATCTATGCAGCGATCGTTAGGTATCTATATGTCATTATTCTGTAATTGTCGATACTTTGTCGATACTTTTTGTAATAATTTATTATTATTTTTATAATATTTTATTATTATTATTTTGTAATAATTTATTATTAATAAGTCAAGTAATTATTTACTTGTAAAAAGTCTCACTCACTAGAGCGTGAGTGCTACTGTGCTACTTTCGATATTTCGATCACTGTGCTACTTCTGACATTTCTTAAAACATTCCGCATTTTATATGTGCGTATTAAATAGAAATTTTGTTTCTTTTTATGGCGCTTTCCATATCTATTTCTTTTATTCTTTTTCTTTATGAAAATTGCATGTATATTTATTTTATGTTAACTGTCTGAAGTAAACGGTTGTTCCCCTCGATTTTCCAGTGTTTGACTTTTAGAAGATGAATTTGATTGGACAATCGGAACACATCAAAAAATGAACAGACTCGTTCGCTGCAATGTGATTGGTCCGCTGCTTCGATATTTAAACAATTGTAATATCGCGTCTCGCTTAACTTCAAATCATTGTTTAAAGTTAGTCCGTTACAGAACGCGTCGGGATGAATTATAAAATTGGATTTGAATCGTTTTGTGTTTTCGCGATTGTTGTCGGCTAAAAGTGAGTTCGCGCGCGAAAATAGTGGAGTGAAGTAGTGTACGTCCGTCATAATACATTAAATATCGCGTGTGATTAGTAATGTCGCGAATACGGTGGTTCGCTATCATATGCCCACAATCGAGCAAGATCGCCTTTGCAGGTTTCATGATTTTCACGTTCAAGCACATCAAAAATGATAACGTTTGCACGGCCATTGCTAGGTACGTATGTATATATATGGTGTTGTTTTGCAATTAGTTACATTGATTATATTTTTGGTGAGATTTAAGTAGCATTTAAAATAAATGTGTAAAGTATAATATTATTTTTCCTACAGCGCTTTATATTAATATAATTAATTTATTTATCATATTAATAAATTAATAATTTTATAAATATTTTTGAACATTTTTAACACACATTTGTGTATATGTGTGTGTGTGTGTGTGTATTATGTTATAAATACTAGAAAACATTATCACTTTATGAAAGATTGTGTTTGAGATTAGAAACAATATTAGTTTTTAAGTATGAATAAATATTATTTCACTTTTTAGAACAAAAGGTAAGAAAAAAATCAATATTTAATTAATGAAATTTTTAGACTTAGAACTGTCTGGATTTTTTATGGATATTAATGGCATATGAATTATTTTAATTTTCATATTTTTTAAAATAAAACTCACATTTATGTTATTATATAATAATGATGAAATTAATATATAAAACTAAACAATGTATCTTGTAATCAAGATATTTCTAAGTCACACTAAATGTATCATTAATTTTTATAATATGCCAAGTTAAGTTTTATTTAATCGCTTTATTCTCTCGTAATTTTTCCCAATTATTACAAAAATATGACGAGAATCATTACAGAGTTCGTAATATTTAGGTACATGACGCGATACGCTCTCATTGTCGCAGCTTCTCGCGCTTTCATTAAATCTTTGAGAAGTATGCCTACAGAATATTAAAATACATATTAAAACATAATAAAACGTGATAATACATCAAAAATACATAAAAATATTACACGCAGATCGCTCTTTGATGTAAAAGAATCGTTTTATTATTCAAAATGGTGCTGCGAAATTCTATATGATTGTTTGCATTTTGTGCAAAATCTGTGATCAATCAAATAAAATGATATCCGAAATATCTGGGATATTTTGTGACATATTTCTTTTTTGTTAGGTTTAAATTTTGAAAAATTGGATTTTATTTTAAAAATAAAATAATTTCAATTCAGAAAAAAAAGAAAAACGGTAAAGCATATAATTGTTTCATTAAATTAAATTAAATTAAAAGAGTAAGATAGAAATGCGTTGTATTGCTTAATCCGTTGTCAATAAAAGCAGTCACTTCTTCCATTGGAAATTTGTATTTATAAAAGATTAAAGCTGTACTGCGGAACCACGGAGAGCAATTCGAGTCGATGTCGTTTCTCATTAGAAACAATGTGCGATTAATACATATGAAAGAAGTCTCTGTTCGCTTGTTTAAGCTAATAAAATACAACCAAGTAAAAACACAGTAGCAATGATATTCAAGATATCAAAAAAGTTGCATTCATTAATATAGAATAAAAGTCGAAAGCTTTTCCCTATTTCTGTGTGTGTTAGCAAAAAGTTCCTCGTATAATACATTCCTTTATTAGTAATTTGATAAAGGAAACAAGATTTTTAAGCATTAAACAAGAAATTAAATAAATTGCATAATAAATTCAGTTTTTCCAAACTTGTAACATGACTTATTTTTTTCGCTAAAAACATTATTGAGTCAAAATCTAAAAAGATCATCGCAATATAACAATTTACGTGTTAACTCTCATAAAAATAGTACGACTGTTTTACCAAAATATTTTCTTCACAAACACATTAATTAGTACATTATTACTGTAATACCACAGTATCGCAAAATTAAACAAGATTGATAAAACATAACAGTAGATTTAACCAGTTAGCTTAACTTTTTTTTAATCGCAGTATTGTGCATAAGATAAAGAGCACAAGATCTATCTTCAAACATTCAAGACTTCACTATATACTCCTAATTTATATTTCGCTTTTAATTCACGCCTTTTGCTCTTATGAAATTTTATGTACGCTCTGTCACTTCATTATGGCAGTTTTTTTTCGAACTATATGCGTTGTCATTTGCTTTTTTTGTTATAATGGGAACTTCGTTATTTATTACGCTTATGCTAAACCAGAGCAGCGAAGCTAAATTTCGATATATGTATAGTGAACAATCAAATTGACGATGCAAAATCGGCGATTATAACGTCAATTCCGGAATGCATTGCAACAGCTCGGAAACTTAAGAAATGTGTCCGTAAATTAACTCTAGTATGCATACAACAATCTATGGAGATACACGTAGTTTCGACATCTTTGTAATTTATATTCTGATATACGCAAGTAAACTTATATAAGTCATTATTACGCTTTTGTGACGATATCTTTGTACAAGTGTTGTTTTCTGATAACGCGCGCCATATTTTACTAAGACACTGAAAGAGTTCGGTGCCAAAAAATAAGATTTAAATATAGCCTTTTTTAATTTAAGAACATCGACAACATGTAATTAGTTTCTTGTGGATTTACAAAAATCGATGTCATTTCGAAAGAAGACGAAAGGTCCGATTGTGATCTTGATTTATTACAAATAAATTTTATTTTATTACGTTTCACTAATTTTTCAATATAAATAAAGATAAATAAGATATTTAATTTCTATCAGCTGTTGCAAAAATGTATTTTTTAACACAGCAACGCATATTACGATGTCGAAACTTTGTAGTGTGGAAGTGAAAGTTATGCATACAAGAGTTAAATTTCAACAAGTATCGCTTGTACAAGAATACGCTTTCGAGAATGATCGGAAGTCATTGCGTTTGGGGAAAAAAGAACGTCCGAATGTTTCACAAATGCGAAACTCGTTGTACGTATAAATGCAGAGTGCACGAACGCTTTTTGGTGACAATACTTCAGTTCCGGTTGTTTCACAATGTCACTAATTGATACCAATTATACTTTCATAAAGGAGCTCATTATGGTGAACACGACGTAAAACTATATATTTTGAAGTCTCTCATTCACGTTCGATAGGGCTTAGCGTATGCGCATGTAAAAATAGCCGAGGTTCAGTGGTCGAGAGAAACGTTTTATCATCAGAAATTTTATTTTTGTCTAGATCATCATAAATAATATATTCATAAAAATAGGAAGTGTACAAATATATTAATTTTTGTAGTGCGACGATCTCTAAACGTTTGCCTTTTCCCTCGAATATAATATTTAGTCGCGCGTGTGTATACATAATACTTGAAACACATTCGCATTCGTTCGACCCATTCTGCGTCCGTCGTGATCAAACTTGCGGATTGCGTGCGTAAAGAGAGGCGCAGTGCGCGCGTTCTCTTTCTGGAAGCTTGATTCTACGACACTGAAGTTTCGTGACTCTCGCAACTTGAATGTCGTGTACTTTTTTCCGATCGATTACAGCGCTTATGTTGTATTGTGCACAATAATAACGAACCGCAGTGCGGCTTATATTGCCGCTTTGTACTTAAAAGAAAACGATCGAAGCAACGAATAAATTCTTTTCCGCAACTTATCGCAGCTCACCACTGCGTTGTCAGTGGATAGAATCAAGCCGTGGAACGAATCAAATACATGGAAAGTCACGTTAGCTAATACACAGTTGGCACATGCCGCTAATAATTCGTAATGTTTTTGCAAAATTCTTGCAAAATAACGAGGAAAAGTACAAATTGTCAATATAAATACACAAGTTGTTGCATTATCAACGTTGAAAAAATTTCCACTATATCTCACGCAATATAGAACAATATAAATAAATGATACACAGTTTAACAAAAAGACAAAATAGGTAATCCAGAATATCTAAAAAATATTTGAGACTAATGGAGCAGCGAATTTAGGATTTATAAGTCGTCGTTTTATTTGAAAAGCTGATTAAATAATAGCATATATTCGGGAAATTCCGCTTTTTTAAAAAGTATATATGCGAGGCACTAATTTTCCACGATTACCGGTAAAAACTTTATGAATTATTTGCAACTGCCAACATAATTATACAATCAACTCTGCCAAACGATCTTATCAAAGCACACCAACTTTTCAAACACATCGGATCTAGACAGAGTCTATAATAATAGTAAAAGGCAAAGAGGATATAAATTTCAGCAACGTGCCTCAATGAAAAATGCCTTGAAAAATTACGTACAATTAAGAAACATCCACACTCGTACTCGGCACGTACACAACTGGCGAAAAAATGCACGCATATATCGCCCTCTCGCCTAATATAATCATCGACGAGGAATGTTCTACATTCTTCATCGTGTATGTGTGTACGCGTTCTAAATGTATGTCTCGCTCGCATCATTTCTCACATTCCCGCGTCTCGTCGAGTCGTGATCTTTTCATTAAGTAGCTTTATTAAGCTATTCGAAATTTAACGATTTTACAAATCGCGGCGCGATTTCTGTCGTAAACGCCAAATACAGAAACCGCGAAACTAGTCTCTCTTTCTTCATTTCGTTAAGCTCTCTCATTAATGATTACCGATGATATATAATCGATGTACTATTTTTGAGTGGCAGATAACACGAGGCTCTAATTTAAAAATCACACGACATTTTACGAGAACTATCGAAAATAAAAACTGTGCGATGTTTATCTTTTCTTTTAGCAATTGATTGCGCGCGTTTTATCAAGTTTTTTTCTTATTTTTTTCTTATTTATTTTGTAACATGGACGTCGTAATAGCTCTTTCGTTAATGACTCTATGTTAGTGAACACAGCTTCTGCTCTGCTAACAACGCAGAATTATTTGAGGAAACTCACTTTATATTTGTCCATCCTTTTGAACCTCGTCGTCTCTTCGTTCTCCGTACATGTGCGCACAATTTGACTTCGTAATTTCGCGCATAAGCTCGCAAACGTGTTGCGAGATGATTCTTTATAGTAAACGAGTAGTAGTAACTGTAGGTACGACAAAACGAGCAGCTGATCGGCACACCAAAAAAAAATGTTCGAGCTCCCAACGAGGCCGCGATGTGTCCTAAGCGAGCTTTTTCTCCGTGACATTATTGTTGGCAACGTAACCGTTGTTCGTGCCGTTACTGTAACAACTGTTGTACTCCTTGTTGTAGATTGTGGCATATGAGGACACGCCGTTGTGCGTCGCGCTGCCGTTCTCGTCCAAAATCGGCATACAAGCTCCGCCGCCGCCGGATGTGCCGTTCTGCATCCCTTTCTTCGCAGAGTCATCCGTGTACTTCATCTTGTAGAAGTCCGAGAACAGCCCGAAGAACAAACAGCCGTGCAAGCCGATCCAAATCATGAAGCTTCGCGGATAGTTGCACTCGGTGAACAGCAATTGGAACTGATGGCACATGATCATCACGAATTGCACCTGAAGTCGGAAAGATAAGGCAGTTAGGTGAGTGAAAGTGATAATGAAAATTACGGCGTACAATATTTGTCCCCAATTCTGCGGAATATATTGAAAATATGATATTTGAAAAACTGCAGGAACTAGTAATAATACAGACGGATGGATAGGATTACAGACCGAATGGAATTTCAAATTGAAAACTCGGTCGGCGACTCATTTTAATCCGCTTCTGTCAATTTCATTTATTTGATTAATTTTACTGGCCAGAAAAAAGCGGTTATTCTTATGATTAAACGTCACAATTTCTCTCTATGAATTTTTAATTGCACTTAGAATTACTCTTTAAAAAGTCTCTGCTATTTATTATTGTGTATTCAAAGAAGTAGTTAAAAGTATATTCAACAAATCATACGATAAATGTATTTAAAAGAATATTATAATATTTCGAAACACAATTTAAATATTATTTTCAAAATACAATATATGTCTATAAAAAATAATAAAAAATTATTAATCTATCAAATGAGACGCTATTTGCGAAGGAGCTTATGTAATATCTATTTTTAATATCGCGTAGAGTACGTAACGTTGTAATGACGAGTGTGCTTGATATTCGTTGCAATTGTCATTTCTAAAATTCGTAATAGAGTAACGTCAAACTTGCCATTTGCATGCCAGTGAGATACTTCTTCCACCAGATGTACTTCTGGAACTGTGGTCCCATCGCGGCTACCATATAATAGAAGTACATCACAATATGTACGAAGGTATTCAGAAGGGCAAAGAAAGTGCTGTGGCCGCCCGGTGCGAATTTTACCCCCATCCATACGGAGAAAGGCATTACCCCATGATGAATTACGTGAAGCGTTGAAACGTGCTGGTTTTTCTTCCTCAGAATAAAGAATAGCTAGGGAACGTGCAAAACTTTCAATTATTATTTTCACTTTTCGCGGTATTTCAGTGATTTTCATTTATGCACCTTTATACAATATTCATGCGCACATTTACAATTACGATTGACGTTCGCATTGCATTAACGAGGCAGCCGAAGTAAGTTAAAGTACATCAAGAAACTTTGAATGTACCCATTCTTAATTAAGAATATATACATCAAATTAAGCAATAAAATAAAAGAGAACAGAGTCGATTATTTTTCAACAAATTATTCGAAGAATTTTAAGTGAACATTTTTTACCGAGTACTTCAAGTTCGAAGATGATGCTTGATAAAGTTATATTAAATTTACGGACATACTTATCGAAGGAAGCTTTTGTCTTTTTACATTTGCTCTTCGACCTACTTTTTAACGATAAGTCAAATGAAAAGTCAATATTTACCGTATCGAAGAATTCGGTGAATTTGCTAAAGTAATACCACCAGCAGGTTCTCGCCATTCTAAGCCCCATCGAGCTGGACGAGTAGTCCACCGGTTGGCATCGGATACTGTATCCTTTCGCCCAACCGCTCATCAGATACTGAAACAATAACGTTCAAGCTGTGTCATTGCATTATTCACACATTTTATGAAAGGTGCAACAAATATAACGATTAACTGATTTTTATTATCTTTCGTGTGGATTCTGAAAAATTATAAATTCATCAAAATGAAGTAATTCAAAAAGATTTTCTTCGCATTATTGTCATTCACAGATCGACTGTTGTCTAATTCTAGTTTAATTATATATTTCAATGATGCTCCTTGAAAATTTTAGGATGTAAAAATCTCAACATATAGTTTCGCGTACACAAGTGAATTCTCTTATGTGTTACTTTCGCATTAATAGTACGTTGAAAGTGAACCGTTTAACTAAATTCCCCTGAATTTAAGAATAAATTTGCGTGTCTGAAAGGCGTTGGACGTTCACGAGGTCGCCGCGAGCGCAGAATTAATTCGCTAAATGGCTTCAATTATACTCAGGAGTTGCACCGTTATAATCTGTTGCGCGTCGAAAAGACGTCCATTACGTTTGTGGGGTAAATTAGTCTTACACTCCCTTAGTTGCAGCGGTTATTTGTCGAATCGAGTTACATACCTATCATGTTACGATTCTTTTTTTTAATTGAAATTTAAATATGGGAGAGAGAAGAACAAATTCTAATTAGGCAATGAATAGATAACTCTCGATAATAAATAGAAATAGTAAATTTCATAAAATATGATACTCGACAAAAATGGCAACAACAAAAAACTACGCGTAGATGAAAAACTTCGGAATACTTTACTCATTTCGTATTCCACTTTTTCGAATAGTTTTTGAGTAATTTTCGCGATTAGTCAGTAATTCACAGTTGATTAATCTGATGTGTGAGCATCGATATTCTTTAAACTCGAGTATTCCTATCGAGTATTCCTATCGAGTATTCCTGTTGACTCGTTAGCTATGAGTGACTATTTGCGTGTTACATCACATCCTCGCTTTGCATATTTTCCTCTCGAGTTTGAGTAACGAATTTTCAGTATGTTTTTAACAACGAATCAGTTCAACGGTCAATCGTGTGCCAGGGTCGCGAGAGTTTTAGATCGATAAAAGATTTATAGCTTCGTGAATGATAAATATGATGTAGAAACATAGAAACAATAAAAAACTTAGTATACCTTAATAATACACTTGTTTTAAGCGTGTTACAAAATCAAACGATTTGCCAGAGTGAAATAAATACAAGGTTATTATTATGAAAGAATGTAAAAAATGTTCTGGCAGAATATCAATTACAAATTATTTAATTTTTTAAATAATATTCAATACAAAAGAGTAAAAGAAACTAGAGAAATATTTGAAAGCTTTATTCGAAAATTGTATTACATTGTTAATTTTTATGCGCAATTTTGTTTTGCATATGTTTTTAATTCGATATGATTTTTCTCATTTTAATCCGCGAACAAAATGCCGCACCATAATGGTTTATAAAATACCGCATTGTTGCTTTGCGGTTATTAATTATGAGCGAAACGCGTCGTTATGATTTCGGAAGCGTCGAATTTACACTGAATAGAAAGAAAATAAAATGCGAAATTTTTTTATATGCACAATTATGCGTGCAAGGAATGCATAATATCATAGCTTTATTCATAAGATATTCATACGATATTATATGATAGTCCTATTTTTATGTAAAAATAAACAATATACAACCGGAATGTATTACATTACGTTGAAATTTTTGACAGCTTAATATGCTCAACATGCTAAATTGCGATTATCGCCACGAGCGTTTGGCGTAATTGGCATGATTAAGCGCGTACTTCTTGTATTACAGAGTACTTATCGTTCGCAAAACTATTAATTTTTTTTATCGATCCAATTCGGTGCTCGAGCCAATTGTGCTCGATTAATCATTGCATAAATCAACTATCGTTGGAAAAAAGTTACCGTGTTTTTTCTGGACGCCCAAACACAAAGCTAATTCCCGTCTTGCGTCAAACGTGTTTATTAAATATTAAACAAATTCTAATCAGGAATGTTGAAGAAAATGCGCAGCGCAAATATTAATTCAGGGTATAGCGTTTATGTTATATTAATTTATGTACTATGATATCGCATTGTAATAAATAATCATAAAATCGAAGAAATTGCGTTATACAAGATGACTATTGAAAAGATGTCTAAAGTAAATTGCTATAATTTTTCAATGAATGGACAGAACAAACTGTTAAATACACTTTTTAACATGACTAGGAAAATATCTTGTATGTAGTTTTCAAATACTCTGTTTCAGTTTATCAGTGTTTTTTCAATGGACAACACTTTGAAAAAATATTTATCACTAAATGTCCAGATAAATTTATATTATTTTTATCATGTTTGTTTTATAATTACTTAATTATTGTATACTTCTTTCATACTATAAAATTGACAGATTTTCTCTACAAAACAATATTTAATTTACTTCATTTTGTTCATTGGTTTTGCAAAGTAATAGCAATTTACTTTAGACATCTTTCCAATGGTCATCCTGTATGTTTATGCAGTAAATCGACATTTTTTATATTGAACATTTAGCAATCAATTTGTATACATATTATTTTTTTAATAATTAAAACAAAAATTACTTATGTAAGATCTCTCAAAAAATATAAGTTTGCAGATTACGATAAGATTTTTTGGCTAAAAATACAGTTAACCTTTTCTCAATAAAATTGTCAATTGTCAATTTTATATTAATAATTTATTGAATAAAAATATGAACCGAGCTTTCAAATAACAATGAATAAAACTATATATTTCGATTAATTTCACATAAATTTAATTCAATCAAACTTTAATGTGTTCTTAATTAGAAAAATTTGTTAAAAGGTATAAAATTGCAAATATGTGATAATTTTTCTCAAAATTAAAAAAAAAAAACAAAAATTAATTTTATAATCAACGCCGAGAAATCTATCATTAAGACTGGATTTTCTTATTTAAAGACATTCCGATTAGTAAAACTTTAATTAAGCAAATCAACGTCGTAAACATCGTACATTGTGTTTAAGGTGTTTTCATCTAAATTCAATGAGATTCTATATTTAGGATCGATGAGTAGAGCTAGGTATGTCACTTCGAAAGATTTACAAGCGTATCTTCATGAATAAATTGGAGAATCTGTTAGTTTGATCGACTCGTATTAGCAAAAGCTGATCGGAAAAGAAGTCCTGTAGCAACCTTTGTTTGAATGGAAATTAGTTTAAGGCTTTTCTTTATAACAGTTTTAAGATGCATGAAATAATATAATTTGAAATGTGCAATCATGTTCTATAAATGACATCAATTATAAAATCTGAAGTAATTTTAAATTTTGAATAATTATGAAATCTCTAGTTTTCTTATAATATTTTAAAACATGTGATTTCACAATAAAGATTTGTAAAAATTAAATTAATAGAAGTTTCGAGAAATTTAAGTCAAATTTGCAATCGAATATTTGCCAAATTGCAGAGTTGAAGTTTAAAACTAAAAAGATAATATTTGTTGTAATTACAGAAGTAAAGCTAATTAAACAAAGGTATGCAAAATCTTAACAAAATAAAGATTTGCATAAATTTTTTGAAAGAGCTGATAAAAACAACTACTATTTTTTTTATTATTTTGACAGTTTTTACTAAATATTACTAAGTATTACTAAACAATTTTTGAAAAAATTTTGATTAAATGTTGTAAAGTTTTTATCAAATAGTTTTTATCAAATAACATAAATAATTTTTTATGTAATTTCTTCTAAATTTTCTTTTGTTTAATATTTATTTAAAAATAATCATGCTTTTAATACTTATAAAAATAGAATAAGACCAATTGTGCACAGTTACACACACATACATAAAATTTATTGCTTAATTTTTTGCAATGCAAATGGTTTTTATTAATTTATGAAAGCAAATGTAGATGAATTAATTGCTTTTATACTTTAATCTATAATCATTATATGACACGTATTACGCGGGCGATTTCGTGATATATCTTCTTTTTACATTGATTATCATCATATCACCGTGACCTATCTCTTTTGAATATAAAGGAATTCAAGGTGCTTCCGTGCACCACTGAGTTGGCGGTTTTACACGTGCGTAACTGTATCGCAATATGTGTACGCAATATTGACCACGGCCTAAATACGATTTAGCATATCTACGTATAGCATATAAATGGACATACTGATCGGTCGAATCAAATTTGTGAGTTGAAAAATATGAATGTATATATGAGAAATGAAAATTAAATAAACAGTGCAATTTGTAGTAATCCATTGATTACTACAAATTGGATTGACAAAAATTTGAAGTCTCTGTCTAACAGCAAACTAACGTTTTAACTTTTCAATCGCTGGCGAAATCAATTTTGAATTTTTATTGCAGCTTTTTCAAATAATTTATGCACGAAAAAAATCAATAAAATGGTTATGTTTCTTTGTGATTATTTTATTTTATAAATACGTTTTCTAATTATTCGTCTGGAAATTGATAGTATTTTCTCTTATTGAAAAACAAGCTTTTATAATTTTATAAATTTGAACTTTCTCGATTGTTTCGAAATATTGTAGTTTATAATCGCTTTAAATTTATGCGTCTAAGCAATAATTAATTTTTAATCGAAATCTCTAGCACAGCTCTGAAAAAGTTGATTAAGATTTTCAGAGAGTGAAATCTTATCTATCCTCTTAAATCATTTTAAAAATTATATTATGTTCGTTTGATGCCAACATTATCTTTGTTGGCGCAAATTTATTGTGTTTCGCGATAATAGGGACGGTAATTGAGATACTTTAAAAAAATATTGGATGTCCGCGTAGGAAGTAAAGCGCAATTCAAGAAACCTTAGCGTTAATCTTGTTTATACGAATACTTATAAATATGTATATTTTTAATTAAATGCATAATACGTATCGATTATCATGATACTTACAATTAGCGGTACGTATACATCAGGCGATTGTTATTTAGATTTCGAACATCGCTCGATCGATATCGCGATTCGGTTACATTTCTACTCGAATTTCATTGATTTATTCTAATGGTATTGTGTTCGCAAAGTCAACAAAGAAAAAATTTTAATCATGATCATACATACTTATAAAAATCCACATTAACCTCAATGATTATTCAGATATTATTTTGAAAAAAATTGCTGCCATGTCATTCTAATAATCTATAGTGTAGATAAGTGGAAAAATAAGAAGATAGAAAAAATTAACATAATAAACATTAATTGAATACGGAAATCAAGGTTTAATTGAATCAACAATCTAGATTTTTTATTTATCAGGGCTAAAGCCGGACTGATTGTTTGTGCCAAAAGTATTATATATTTGTAACCGAAATAATAATGTATGTTTTGATCTGTATTAGATTATCTTCAATAAAATTATTATGATAAATTAAAGCATTAAATGCTAGAAATCGCATATATTGGAATGTATGATTAGCAATTAATCTGCAGAAATAAAAAAATTTTATTAAAATATGTAGATTTCATAATTATTAAATTACTATAAGTGCGCGCCTGTATTGTTCTAGTGTCTTTAATAAAAGTAATTTAAATACAAATAAATTAATGCATTAAAAATAGAAACTGCATGTATTGAATATATGATCAGCAATTGTAATAAATTGCAGAAATGTACTTACATTAGTCATCTGAATAACTGAGCATTGTGCGATTGTTTCTGCCGGTTAATTATCGATTATGTATTCTAATGTGTGCATTTTATTTTATTCTAATAATCTTACAGATAATCTAATACAGGTCGAAACATCTGTTATATCAGTTACAAATATATAATACTTTCAGTACCAATAACCAGCTTGGCTCATTAGCTTTGATAAATTATAAAAAAATTATTTATTTGAGATTCGTTTTTGAAAGTGACATTCTCAGCGATTTATTCTGAAGTATTTTTGGCGATTATCACAAATGGATTGAGTGAAGTTTTTTTGTCGAGAGGATCATTTTTTTAAGTTTCGGAAAGTCACGGTCGAAAATGATCTTTCCTTGAGCTCTCTTATTAAAGGCAGGAAATCAGCAGGCACCAAATCAGCAGAATGTGGCCTAGTAAATTATTTAGTGGCATGGGCTACAAAATTATTTTTAGTGATACAAAATAGTACTAAATCCATTAGGTCTTGCTGATTTTTCTGATTTGGCCCTGCCAGTTTAAGAGAGCTCTTTCCTTGGTACAAAGAACCGCGTGTTGTTGCCTGGATAAATTGGGCCACTGCCGACAGCAGTTATTGACTTCGTCGAAACGGAACGTGGAAGAGGAATAGTTGAAAGCCACCCTCCTGTCGTTCGTTGCGTGTAAAGACAATCGCGATCAAATTGCCGTGATTATTTATTCATAAAGCAAGTGTGCAATCTTATTGGTTTGTTCAACGCGATCAATCACAAAATTTCATCGCGATCAATCGTGATTTTAAAGAGGAGGAATATTTTGTTATTGTATTAGCGTAGTGTTATTGGCAAATAAAAAGTTTATTATTAAAATTTATATTATATTTTTTAAGACGAACATTTATTAAAATTTTTATAAATTAAAAAATTCAAGATTTATCTACATTATTTATAAAAAAATCGATGCATCTCGACAAAATAATTTTAAATTCATAATATTTGGCTTTATAAATTATTAATATTTAAAATACAAATTTTAAATGAATGATTCTTGTACTGTGATATTGTTGCAAGTTCTTTGTTTTCTTCTCAACAAAATTTCACTATGTTAAAAAACTTGTTTTGAAATGCGGCGATTTTTGTGACAAATAATGCAGTTTGATTTTATATTTTATAAATTTCACATTTTCTGATTTTTTTACTGATTTAATTATTGTCGTTTAATTAACAATAACGAGTATTAATCTGTTTAATAGTAGAAGAAATTGTAATTATAGAGATAAATATAAGAAAAACGAACCTCATAAAATATCCACGCGGAGAAGAAAGTCTGTAGAAGGTTGTATGTTATGAGGATCCCCCGAAGATCGAAAGGCTTTCTGTTTTCCATCAGCTTCGGTCCCAGAACTTTGCTAAAGTAAGCGTATGAGATGCATATCGCCAGGGTCGGAAACGGGCTGCTCATCATCGCCCAATCGTTTACCCTGGGATCTGAAAACAAAGAAAATGCAATCTAAAAGAAAAAAAGAACAAAAGATAAGATAATAAGCGGAACCGGGCGAAGCCTTGAGAAATCTGCGCGATGGATTATTCATAAGAAAGTACAAGCAAGATTTTAGGAAGAGACTCGTCGGGAGGATAGAGGAACAGAGCAAAATCTCGCTTTCGCGAAGTGAGACGACGTTTCGCAATGTATATCATATATGCACATAAGAAAGTGGAGCGGGCGAGCGCACGATTTAAAAGTCACTCTCGTATTATGTAATAATTATGCGCACCTATAATGTAGTTCGAAGTTCGAAACTGGCGGCAAGATGCGTAAAAACATGCGCGAATTTCTATTGCATCATGGTTCGTATTATAATTCGCGATTTACGACAGAAATTTAGTAATATCAATCGTGTCGAGATAGCCGCCGTATTAAGAAATATTTAAAGAGATTTTTAGAAGCGTTTTCTAAAAGAGGAAAAAATTGTTATCTCGACTGACGGTTCTCCGCTCAGTCCACGGCTGTGTTCGCTTTTCTGAACCCTCGCCCTATCGCCACTTTTCTATCCACCCTCGACGAAGAGGAAGAGAAAAAGGCGCGAGTGCGTGCACGGAGCGCGAACGAGTGAGCAGTCGCCTTCTGGTAAATTACCCTCGCGCTCGTGTCGACAGATACTACACACCGATATGCGGAACGATTTTTTTTTCCTCTCCCTTTCTCTGCTTTTTTTCACATTCTCAGCGAAACGCTTCGGTTCTTGGTCAACACGACTGGTTGACGATTCGATTACGAGCTGCGCGCAGCCTGCATCGTCGATACCACGCGTCGCACTTTGTTTCTTCAGCTTTAGCAGCTCGCGCTGCTTTTAGTTAAATCCAACCAATTTATTTAAATCGTTAAATTTTAATGATTTCGAAACATTCCGCATATTGTATTCGAACGTAAAAGATCGCATCGATATCGTGGCACAAAGGAATCGGATTACGCGTAACGAAAAGTTCGTTAGTCAAAAATGAAAAAAAAAAAACCAACTGCGGTATTCCAGTATCAAACATATACCAGTTGATATCGGAAAGGAAAGTGGGCGCAAGCAGAGAGCTGTATGTTGAAGAAGGCACGCAGTTGCAATGACAAAACGGGACGCTTAAAGGAATATTGCATCGAATTTCGTCTGTCAGTACATTCGTCCATTACGTAATACTTTTGCGAAGGCTTTGACGAAATCAACAACGCGGCAAGGGCGCCCCGTCGACACGACCCCAGGCGCCTTCGTGTCTACACGGCCTACGATCAACGGAAAATAGGAGCCGCAATTGCCGATGTCGACGCCGCTTCGTCGGCATTACGTCTGCTTCCCGCATGACACAACAAAGCCCGCGTTAATGGATAAAAGAAAAAAAAATATCGGTCGCCGCACTAACGTCTGCTGCTCTCATCGATTTCAAGACGCCACGACGAAACGTCAAACGACTGTGCAATTTTTTTCTTCTTGTCACGCCCCAATTAAAGATAATTCCGATCTTATCCCGTCAAACGCTGTACTGACGCCGCTGACGAACGCCCATTATTTATGTCAAATCAGCGCTCTCGGTTCTGTAGAATATGCGAATATAGAATGCCTCGACATTGGTGGCAAATGAATGCGTTCCTCGTGAAATTTTATGAGCAATCGTATTATTATTTTTTACTTGTTTCGCTTTGATTGTTTGAATTATGTTACTAAACGTATAATTTAGAAACAAATTCTGTTATAGAGAGTATATAAATTATTTCATTTATTTCTACTAACATAAGCATTTTGTTCTTATTCTTAAATTTTTCTCTTAAAAATTTAAAAAAGTTAAATAAAATTCCAAAATTATCCCAAATATACATTTTGGAAATATCTTTTCCATTTATTTCTGTAAAATTTTTAAACAATTAATCTAAATTCGATTTTTCTTTTCGATTATGTGAAATCAGTTTTTGAATCATAAGCTAGAAAATAAATTTTTCTCAGAACTCAGTCTATTTTGCGAACTTTATAAGTGTAAACAGATAATAGATCTACTAAAAATGCCGAGAATTTCTAGAGGAATGCAAATAAAGTAAAAAAAAAAATTTTTTTTTTCGTATTTTTACACAGATTTATCTCTGCATGTCGCACAAGATATGGAAAGAGGAATCATGACTGAATAATGCGTGGAAAACTGGGGTCAAGGATTTCGAACGACTCGCGGTGAAATTAGAAACGAAACGCTCGGTGGCATTACGACACGATATTGGTTCGTTCCGTGCTAAAGGACTTATAAAGAGGTTCTCTCTCTCTTATCATCGCCGTAAAAACGCACAGTAAACAGATTCCTGGGAAATCGTTGAAATTTCGGTTGTAACACGCGCGATGTTTCCGGCGAGAAATTTTGAGAAGTTCATCGACTACGGCTTTCGTGTAAATTTACATATTTCTCTCGCATTCTTTCTCGATCTACGCACCGTAGATCCGGTATGTCCATTTAATCAAATAAAATGCAGCTAACAGCTGAATCAGTTAAAAACCCGCTCTGTTGACCCGCTCATCTTCTTCTGTCATCATCTATTATTGTGCGTCTACTATTTATAGTATTATATTCAGTATTACGTGTTTTGCTAATAAGAAGAAAGTTACTGCTAAATCACTTAATTTGCCATTCACATTTATCACCATTTATCACTTATTAGCATAAAATATACATAAGTACTTTTGAATTTTAATTTTACGAGTCTTGTAAAAGTGGCGTGAATAATCTTTACGTCATCCGATTTTATAACTCGAAACGTTTGTCAGGTAAATTTTTGCATCCGAATATAACACATTCTAGTCGATGTCTCTCCAAGGCGTTAGTTGCGAAATATGGTAACTCTTCTCTTTAATAATTTAGCGATACTATGCGAAGTCCCCGGAGAAAGAGAACGGCTGAACATGTCAGATTTGAGTGATCACATGGGACAACGTAGGAAAATCGAAACTCGCATATCTTATCGTACACGAATAGAAATATGTGCATAATTAGTCGACGTTGATTAATAATAAGAAACTAATAGATGGCAAATAAATTATTATTTTGCATATTATTATCAAAATTAATAAAATAAAGATAAAACTATACAAAGAAGAGAGTGTTATTTCTTTTCTAAGTGAAGACAAAAAAAAGCAGTATAATAAAGTTGCACCGTTTAGTATGATTTACCATTCTACGGTACTATTTTTTCAAAAATGCAGCAATGTACCTGCAAAATGCAATCGCACTTTTTTTTTAAATAGAATTATTGGATTTTTTTTACGTGAATCAATTCTTCTCGTTATTCAGCAATATTCTCGTTTTTTGATAAAAATATTTTTTTTCATTGTCAAATTGGTCACTAGTTATACTAGAACAAACTATTTTAATCCGCACTTTCGAGTTCGAGTCATCTTCCAAAATAAACTACTGTAAGCACACTTCAGGAGCTCTAATAAAATCCTTTCTAATAATGCGAGAGAATAAAAATCACCTCCCAATATAAAATCTCTCATAAAAAATCAAAGGAATAAAAATCTAACGAACGAAATGGTCAAGATGTAGGATTGCAGTTTCCAAACAATTTTTTCCTGATAAATTTTCGTTAAATATTTTGCTATCATCATGTTTTGGAATTTATATATACATATAATCATTCATGAAAGTAAAATTCAGAAAATATCTTTATTTAATGTCGTGCTGATACATTCAATCGTTTTAACATAATGAAGTAATTTTCTGATATAAAATGTAAAATATCTAGCAAAGATTTGACTTGATTGACTTTCAATTATTTTACTTTAATACTTTTGCACGTAGAATAATAACAACCAATTAATATAAAAAAATTCTATAATTTTATTGAAAACAACAAAGTGTAATTGCATTTTATAGGTGTATCTGTGCATCTTTGGAAAAATATATAAAAGAGTAGATCACATTAAATAGTGTAATATTTTATGTACGATTTTTTTCTGGTTGCTAAAAGCACACTATATTCAACTAAATTGCATATAGAACAATTTATTTTTCAGTTATGATGATAGTAATCTCCGATCTTTATTGATTGCTCAGAAAATAGCCAATTTCGGAATGGCAATAGAATTGCTACGCTAAACGAGAAACGAATGTTGGAATAATAACGCGTATTTATTCATGCGTTATCTTCATGAGTATAATGAATCGGTGTGCTTTTTACTGTTTCATAATTGTTCATTAGCAAAGACCTTGTAGAATTCTTGGAAAATGTAGCAGTAGCAACATTTGTAAGGCAATAACAAGTTTTTATAAAATATAATTAAAACATCAAACTCACCGGACTGATTGTCCATAATGTCTCTATAACTATCCACCAGACTTGTTACTGCGCTCGTCATCTTGAATAGGATCTGAAATGATAAATATTATAATAAGAATTATTGCTTCTACAAACGCGCGCGCGCGATTATATGTTTCAAATTATGATTGCAAAACACAATTTTATTTACATATTGCATAACATAGCGTTAGCTATACCACTTTTTGAAATATTTTTTCTCTTAAAATATTGCCTTCTGCAATATAATGTATCTTTTTGCATATGTCTACGCATTAGTAATGATTCTACTATAAGATGTATAAAAGCGTTGATGTATAATAATGATCAAGAGTCGCATTGATTTATAACATACTGGAGACAGCCTTGCCATAAGAGCTAATGTGTAGTTTTTGGGCCAAGGAGAATAGTAACCGGAAGGATGCTGTAGTCCTTCCACATTTATACGGCGTATTGGTGGGAATGAGATAGATACCCTCCGACAATATTAAACTCTCTCTTTCCAAAGCGGTCCACCTACACTCCTTCAAGGCTCACACTAGTATGTTATAAAGATCGATGCATGGTTGCGTGTCTCGCGTCAAGTTCGCGCGTAATACGCAAATGCTAGAATGTTGGTCGCGATCGCATTTTTGACGAATCCATGGAAATGTAAGATATGCTGATACATTTGAAATAAAAACTCGTCTAAATTCTGCCAAGAGACGATAATGAAAATAATTTGTATAACTAACTTTATTTTAAACTTAACAAATTGTATGTAAACAATTTTAACAGTTTACTTTTTCCACATGCACGGAATACGATCTCAGTTAACGTATATGTAAAACCACCGCGTATTTTTGGATTTCTGATAAAAATGGTTGTAATTATTACCATTATTAAAATTGTTGCAATTGTTAAAATATCTTATGTTATCACGTTATTTTCTTCTAACATTGTATTTTTGTTTGCATTTATTCCGAATACTACGAAGTAGTTTAAGAGATAAAGAATTTCAGTTTAAGAAATAAAAAACTCCAGTTTTATTGAAAGCTATCACAAAAACAAGCCTTGAGATATAGTTTAACAAGGTCAACTAATTTTTACACGTGAAATAATAAAGTTGTCCGAAAGTTGTCCATCAAACAAAAGCGGATATTCAGCATTAAAATCATATATTAAATATCTGATTTTATTTTATCCTTAAAATTCGGTTCAACAAACTTTCGAGCTAACTAAATAATATTAAATGAATAAAAAAAAATAGATAAAAAATATATAAAAACTGTACGTAACTTGTTTCACAAACTGTACGTAACTTATTTCAGTTTTCGTTTTTTAACATGCTGTTACCTTAAAAATTAATGATAAGTTTATTGATTAATTAAGTTTTGTACAATAAGTTTATAATACAATAAATTAACTGAAATGCTGTGAAAGTAGTTGTAAAGAATACATGAGTCAGATAATTGATGTAACATAATATCCGTTTACATTAATATTAAACAAAAAACATTAGTTAACGTTATTTTGTATTCTCACTTGGCGCCATCATATTTTTTATAGAACGAAATATACTTTTTTTTAAAACAAAATAGAAAGAGAGCTTTCACCGAAAAAGATCTATCAATATTTCAAAAGATCTATCACCAAAAATTATATAATTCAGTATCTTATGATCGAACGCGGAAACATATTTTAGCCGTCACCAACATCGATATTGCGGCAAAATCGAAAAGGAAATGACCCTCATGTTCTAGCTGTAAAGTTATCCATTTTATTACGTACCCGAAAATAAAAATCGGGGAAATCAACTTTAAATTGATCAAAGAATACGCCTGCCTCCGACTTATCTTTTCTTACACCGGATTGGAACTTGTTATACAGTGTCCCAGACCAACCGTACCATCCGTTAGCAGATTCAGAAAGAATAAGAGAGATTGAGAGAATGCGAGACACTGAGAAAGAATTGGAAAGAATAAAATAAAATGAGAGATTGAAAGAGAAATAAAATTTGCATGATTTAAATAACTCTACATGTCTAAATAGTTATGTTCTAGTGAATATTAAAAATTGTAAATTTTTACTGTGAATATTTCGAAGTTTTTATGTTTTTACATCACATAATATTTTACATTGCAAATAATAGATAACAAGTAAATGATTACTCATCCAAAAGTTGTTCCGCTGACGCAATTGTTTCCTTCCTGAGCCTTTTAGTCCTTGTAGTTTTTCAAGGCGTTTATACGCGTGGCGCAAATGTAAAAATCTCACGATGTTTTAAATAGCACTCTCGACATTTACTTTCTCGTTTCGGATAAAGTAAAACTCGAATATCATCGCACGGATTACACGTTCGACACTCTGTCGTAATAACGGAAAGGGTGAAATTGATAACTACGAGAAATAATAAGGATAATACTACTGGAAAGAATAACGCGCCGATACCGAACGATCGATCCCGGTACAAAAGGTGCCGCCGTGCGAATTATAAAGATACAATAAATATATTAAAGACAAAGTCGCGTTGATTTTGATTTAGGAGAATGTGAGGAGTAAAGTGCAACAATGTATGAGCCGATACATAGCGGCAAGGGGGGGGGGGGAATATAAATCAGGCTAAAGTTTACATTCGATTTCAACTCGATTTTGATAAATATTCAATAAATGCTATAGTGTTAAGAGTTTCGAGGCCGACTCGCGGCGTTTGGTGGGGTTGTTTTCGTCGCTCTTAGCCGGCGTGATCTATATTTCTTCCCTCTCTCTATCTCTTTCTTTTGCGCTATGTATCGGTACGCACATTGGGCGTTGCATTCTATTCACCGCATTCTCTTAAATCGGAATCGGCGCGACTTTGTCTTTAATATGTTTATTGAACCTTTATAATTCACACCGCGGCACCTCGTATGGAGTCGATTTTGTGTCGATGCGTTATCTCTCCAATAGTACTATCCTTATTAATTCTCATAGTTTTCGATCTCATCCTTTCCGTTGTTACTTATTGCAGAGTGTCGAACGTGTAATCTGTGCGATAATATACGAGTTTTACTTTGTTCAAATGATAAAATACGTATACGTACCGTTTAAAACGAGAGAAGGAAACTCAGGAAGAACATCGGGTGGTTATTTGTTATTTGCAAAATATTGCAAATATTGCGTACAATATTATGTAAGATTACAGACATAGAAACTTTGAAACATTCAAGGATTTGCAAACTCTTCGATTAGATATTTGCATAATAAGTATGAGTAAAAAAAAAGTTTAATGTGCGTAATTATTATTTCCCAAATTATTACTTTAAACGCTACTATAATTTAGATGTATTTTGTTACAGATCAACTTGTGAACAACTCCGCTGCTGCGCATCGTGCTGGTAAGTCAATCTATAATTTGTTTTATTTTAATATTATTAAAAATATACAAGGTGTCTCAGACTAATGTGTCAATAGCGGATTTCTAAGACTTCTCATATGGTAAGGATATAAAAATCAATATTCGACGTGTCTGAGCGTGTAAATATTTGACATTCTAATTGATCACACAACTTTAAACACTTCGTATGTAAAAATTACTGTAGCCTCGACATCTTGCTATAAGAATTTTCCTTCCCAAATGACTTCAGGAATCTGCTATTAACTGATGATATGGTTGGTCAGGGACATTCTATACATATATCAATCATTTTGACATCATACTGACAATAAGTCGAGTAACAGGCAATCGTCATCTCAGAATTCTTTATGAACACTGTTAGTGTTCAGTAAGTAACACTGAACAGTAGTTCATGAATATGTAAATTCATCTGCAATAAATTAAAAATATATCTTGCACATTCTCTCTCTTTCGTAATAATTATATATTTTTAAAACAGAAAGTTGTTACACTGTTTAAGATGTTTAATTCAAAATACATTATCTGACCGATAAATATTATAGAATAACCGCCTTCTAATAATTTGTTTCTCTTTTAAACAAAATTGCCCCAAAAAATGTAGATAATTTTTTTATTTACTACATAAAAAAATTAATTGTTTAATCTATATGTAATATATTATAATATTATATATGAAAACCGCAAGAGAGAGCAAAAATGATAACACAATTTTAACAAGAGATACTATTTCTTTTTTTTAAATTTTATTTTGCATTATTGGAGTTTGACAGCTATTCTTAGAATGTCGTCCTAATTTTGTCCGCAAAATATTGTAGTATGTACGGTTCGTTAGTGGATCGAAATAACGGTCGTCCCATCGGTAGAATATGCTCTTGCTAACATTTCGTTGAGCCTCTTTACTAAACGACAATGACGCTGCCATTGACATACTGAGCTCTAATCTCGATGTAAGGAAGGTAGGCGTAGTCAAGAGTGCTCGCTATATGTGTAGGTGTATTTACACGCTCGATCGCGTTAAAGCGAATACGGGCGTATATACGTTCACGTGATTAATTCATATTTGATCAGTGCACTTAGCGTATGTGATTCAAGCACGGAATGGTACGATACGGTAATTGTTTAAGCGATGTAAAGACTCGAAGCAAAGTTTAACTCTTTACGTTGTGCTATGAATGAGAATTATATTGTACGCCAAATTGATCGATTTAGTCGTCGTGTAGGTTGCCCTTTCAGTTTTTTCTTCACGGAAACGTTTATTCAACTTGTTTATTGTGCAGAACTGGTTATCCTTCGTTTAATTTCACACATAAAATTTAGAAAATTTGTCAATTTGAGAATTGTTTACGAAACATTTAATCTTGAAGAGTGAATACTTATGATAATGACTTCCTAAATATTAAAATTTTTTTATAATTTATGATAATTTAAGAATGTTTACTATCTATTTTTAAAATATTAAGAATTTGACAAAAATTTTACAGATTGTTCTCATATATTACTTGTAAAAAAATGCGGAATCACTGATGCAATAAATAGTTATAAGGATTTTAATTTGCAACGAATTTATGACTTTATGGAAAACGTGTGACCGCGTTGATTCGTTGACAAGTGGCTAAAATAGATAGAAAGAATGATAGGAATTAATTTAAAATTTGAAAAAGTATACTTTAAATATAGAAGAAATATTTGATTAAATA